GGCCAGCACGGACTGCGGACTGCGGACTACTGGGCGGGTTGTAACAACGTACTAAATCATGCATGTCAAGTCGAGTAGTTGTCGTCTCTATCAAACCCATCATAATCGCCGAACGCGCACGCATCATTATCGGGATCGGGCCCTGGCTCTGGTTTGTCCAGCATTCGCTTAGATGGGGGTGGGTTTCGTCTCTTGGGTGCCACTGTTGTTGTTTAGTTCCGGCATGCGACAGATGCAGCAGACGTGCAGACGGCCAACGTGCCGGAGTCTGTGGCGAAACCACAAGCGGCTCTCGAAAGAGCGCCATCCCGGCCCACCATTGTCCCCGGAGCTGTCACTACTCATTGTCAGCTAAGTGCCGGGCAATGGGCGGAGATGACAACTGGTAGAAGGGGCAGTTTGTTCCGACGGACAACAAGTCATGGCAGCAGCAGCAGCAGCAACAACGGCAGCTGCAGTAGCTGAGCCCATTTTCATTTTTAAGAGCCCTTAACCAAATTTGTTGCTCTCACAGCAACCTGCTTTGAGATGAGAATGTGCAAAAAAGTCCCTGCTTGCACATTGGAATTATGTTCGATTTTTGCTTAAAATAAGCAGTATATATCTAACAGCCAAGTCTCTATATCTAACAATCTGTCTGTCTGTTTCTATGGAAAGCTGTAAAGGTATCGACAGAAAATGTTCAAGCTGCTTCCCTTGTTACAGGTGAAACATATCCTATATGATCATAACTATATCATCGATCAAACCTGAGGTTCTTGTACTAATAATAATGTTTACCTAATAAAATGTAAGCAATGCCTTATTCAACATCAGGCCACTATATCGCATAGATAAATCGGCAAATCGTACCAAAAATTAGTTTTTATTGAACATTTTTCTACTAATTTAATACCATTACTAAGCTCAACTACTTATTATTATCAAGCCCGTATCTAATCGGACTAATATATTTATATTTTGAGTCAATAGAAATAACAAGTCGCATATTTGAGCACTTCTCTATCTATCTTTTGTTTCGTTAAGAATTTGCAATTCCTTCTAACTTTTCCAAGTCGATTAACGCACATTTTTCGGTCGCTTTCGAACCACTGTACTGGCCTATGCCACCCGCTAGGCAGCAGCCGCAGCGACAGCAGAGATGGTGTCTGCGTTGTGCACTCAAAACGGGAAACGATAAGACGGCAGACGCAGAGGCAGCGGCAGATTGGGAGCTGGAAGCAGGCTTCTGCTGCACTGCACTCGAAGGTGAGGGTGAAAGTGAGGCTGAGGGTGAGAGTAGAGTGAGGCAGTGGGTAACGGCGGGGGTGGGTGTCCGACACCCGACAACAATAAAAGAAAATTCAATGCGTTTTGTGATAATTTCGCACTATACAAGAAACGAGAAACGAGAAATGAGATGCGATAAAGCGGAGAACCCAACGACAATTCCACAGCTAAAGCCGTAAACGAGCAAATAATAAAAATTTTATATAGCAAAGCGGTACAACAAGAAAATAAAATATTATTATAATGCGACGGACGGTGCATATATGGGCGATTGTATATGAAAAACATGAGTGTGAATAGTCAATGAGTGCCCGGGGTTTGGGGTGAACCAGGTCGGCTGCGGATCGAGTGATGGGTCGCCGGATCACTGTGGGTAACCGGATGCTCTGGGGGTGGTTGGTGGCTTGAATTTTGTTTTGATGACGGTGTTGGTGTTGGTGTTGGTGGTGGATATCAAACGGCAACAATGCAATCAAAATTTTCGTTTCCTTTACCTTGGTGCAAATTTAGTTATTGTGTAGACTTGGGCGTCAGAGTCGGAGTCGGAGTCGGAGTCGGGACACTCCTGGGAGTTGTAAGGCCATAATTTAATTCAGCTGGCCCATTATTTCATTAGTTGTGCGTTGGCCCCCTCCGAAAATTGTGCAATTTATTTTCAGTATTGTGCTCGGCGTAAGTATTGTAAAATGGCTCTGGCAGCTAGACGCATAAATTTGTATATTTCGATTTTGATTTTGCCATTTTAATTGTTTGTAAACTGGCCACATGCTCTGCCAGTTGCTCCTTTGTCTGTCTGCCACACTCCATCTGCTGTCCTTGTGTCTGAATAGTCTTTGTTGGCCAAACATGTCGTATCTGAGCGGGCTTTCAACAATGTGTGTATGTGCTTAGTGTTTGTAGTTTGTGTAATTAACATTTATGAGCAAAAAACTTGATATATTTCACTTTATCTGATGCAACAGAAAAGTGCCTGTTTCCGATAAAATAACTTTAAATGTCGCATTTTGGCCAGCACACAGCTTTTGGTAGGTAAATTTGTTGCTTAAATTATGATCAGAGCAAACAAACTATTTTCTTTGTACTCCGATAAGAATTTCGAATTTTATACTATTAAAATAAGTGAGTAAGTAAGCAATAGTAAAATTAACATCTAAAATGTTCTTATATTTTGAGTATGGAATTGATTTATTTGTATATTATAGCAACAAAAAAGCCTTTCGACTAGTGAAACATGCTATTTCAAAATTTTTATAAAAAACGGTACGGCGAGTCTCAATTTGTTTATTAATTATAACAAAGCAACACTTAAAGTTTTTGTGCTGAAACCCGGTAGAGTTAATAGTATTATTATGTCTTGCCTTGTCTAGTCTGGAGCTTCCGACTAAAGGATACCCTGAACGCCATTCTGCCTTCGCATTAATTAAAAATAACTTTTAAAAGTGGCTCTTAATTTTAAAACCTAACAGAATTGCCCAAGAAACACACTTTTATCGAGGTAAGTTAACAATTATCGGAAATTTGAAAACTCTAGCTCTTAAAAGTTCTGAGATCAACGCGTACAGACTGACAGACGGACATATGGGCTGATAACGAATATATATACATATGTATGTATAACGCCAAAAAAAAACTAAAGGTGGAAAATATTTGGTTTCTCCCGTTGTTGCATAATATAAATAATATTTGTGAGCCGACTCCGTGTATTTAAGGTCTTTTATTGGGAATGGTAAAATCGTATTATTATAAATTTTGTTAACTTCATGCTTAAGAAAAATTGTATTTTATTTTATATAATATTTATTTTTATGACAACAAACGATCGATCTCTAAGCCGGAGTGTGCAGACTTGTTAAATAATTGCCCCGAAAGAAGTTGCCAAAGTGGGCCCAAAATATATTGGTAATATTTATGAAAACCAATTTGTTTTGTGAAGACCCGAACATGGAGCCAAAAACGAACTAAATTTAAGTAAATTTTTATTTGATTTAAAACTTTATTGAAAACGAAGTAATAAGATTAGATTATCTATAAAATTGTACATCCCTAAAAGTATGCAGCAATATATTTCGAGCGATGCCGTTTAATATCTCAGTCGGTATTGAGCAAAGCTGTGCAAAGCTGGAAAGTGTCTTGAGTGGAAGGCGACGCACTTGAACTTACCAGCTACACTCGAGTGACTCCAGTCCGTCCGGCAAGTGCAACATAAATGCATACAGACAATGAAAATTAAGTTGTTGCAAGCGGTGCAAAACTTTATGCAAATGCAGCCCAGCAAAAGATGCCAGAAGGACAGATGGCGCGACGGACCGACAGCCAGATGAGATTCGAGCCAGAGGCATTCCGGGCAGCAAAAGTATATTAAAAATGTTGACAACGAAATCCATCTGTTTAATGGATCTGCACGTAGTGCATCCGAAGCCAAAACGGGGCCCAACCCATGTCCGCACCACGTACACCACACTCACACATGAGCACGATTGTGGGTGTTGTTTTGGTGCGTATTGGGTGTGCGCTTCTAATCCGCCAGATTACAAAAGTGTGCAAGGCAAGGTTGGAGCTGTGGCTACGGGCAACAGTAATCTCATCCCCATTAGAAGGACCCAACCCTGGCCAGAACAATTACACTTGATAAATTCGAGATTAAAGTGCATTTGCAGTTGAGCTCAGGGCAGGACCAGGCCGAAACAGGCTAAGTCCGGGTCATCAAATTTATGGCCATACATTTGGCCAGAATTTCTTTTGTATGCCCCCCAGTTGAGTACTTGGCCGACTCGTGCGCCCTTTTAATTATCACACGTAATGACAGCACCAAATGCAATTGCTAATTAATTGCCCAGGAGCCGGGCCATAACTAAAGAGCCCTTGCCGAAGGCGTTGGCGGCATCGAATGAAAGAATTTATGGTCCTTACATTTGTTTGGCTTGACATTATTATTCCAACATGTGTGTGGTTCGAATGCAATTTGGCGCAAGACAGCGCCCGAGTGGTTGGTTCAGACAAAAGTCTGGCTATTCCAAATAGTTCATTAATGCAGACGGGGATTACCAAGGGTAGCCGAGGGATCAGCAAAGAGCTACCCTAATCGCAACGCAATAAACTTGAAGCTCAACTTGAACTTGAATGTGATTTTGATGTTATTTTATTTGGTGGTCCGGCGGCTAATGAAGATAATCGTTTGTGCTGTCAAAATTGCCGCAAAATATAATTGTGGCAGCTACGCGAATCGCAGCTCATGATTAACGATGAGAGCATTATGAAAAAGACCGAAAAACAAAAATTCAACTTTTAATAGCACAAAAAAACTCCGGCAGACACAATGGAATCTTCAAGATACATACTCGTACGTACTACAACGGAAACTTCAATAAAACAATAACAAAACAAAAGATGCCAGCCAGCCGATTACCAGCAATTTAGCAAGGGGAGGGGATAGGGGTTCGCATTTATATACGCATTACGGCCCGAAGCTCAAGTTGAAGCTGCCCCTGCAAGCAACTGCAACTGCAGTCCGGTAACAAGCTCAGCGACTCACTTAGAGACCCCGTCAAGATGTTATCTAAAAAGCTCAAACGTCAACTCTAGAACAGAAACCGAGACTGAAACAATCTAAGCAGCTGAACAACTGAACAACTGAACAGTTGGCTAGTTAATTTTTTAATGAATCTCGGCAGATATTTGAAATCGGTTTGCTGTCGGTTTGAGTTTGCCTTTTTTTTAGTCGTTTGGCGGCGGTTTTTAAGTGCGCACATGAGACGCGCTTCAGTCCAACTCAAGTTCCCTGAAAAATCCCACAAGTCAAGTGCCAGTGCAAAAATAAAAAACAAAAAAAAAATACAAAAAACCCTAAGTTGTTCAAAAGATAAAAACAATTTTTTTTGCTAAAATGTTCCTTGGATCTGTAGCCTATTTTGGATTATGTTGCTGCTTTCTGTTAACTCATCATTGTGCGCAAGGTTGTAAAGCAAATTGGATTCTTAATTGCCCATTTAACAATTAGTCACATGTGCTGTCATTATTTTGGATCTGATTTCAATCCCACGCAAATAAATTGACTGTATATGGGTTTTTCCAGTACTTTGGGAATTTTCACCAACCTGACCCTAAAAATATTAAGCCAAAAATTTTCCCGAAGAGGTAAAGGAACTTGCAATACATAAGCTAGTAATAAACTTGCTAATGATTAAATTGATATTTGGGCGATCACAATAATTTTGATGCTCACTTTGGTTTATATATTGTAGGTATTGCTTAATTCCTTATCCAATATGAATTAGGTTCTTTTCACTGATCTAAAGCATTGTCTACATTAACTCTTTAAAACCATCTAATTCATAACATCTAATTCATAATAACATCTAATTCATAATAACATCTAATTCATTCAAGGGCTTCTGTGATTCTCTAAATCTCTAGATCCGTATATCATCCTGTTAGTTGGAGCATCGCGCTTCGTTTAAAATTAGCTATGTAAAGTATCCTTTTCGGTGAGACTCTGTTAAGTAGGAAATCTTAAATCTACATATTTAGATCCTAATCAGGAAGGTCAGGGCCTGCTTCAAAGGCATTTGCAAGTTCCAATCGAAAGATTGATAGATGATTATCTGATTATAAAAGTTATAGAAAAATGCAATCTGAGTCCATCTATGACAGCCCCATATATAATCTTAGTTGGAAATGCAAACCTTGCATATTGAAGTGCAATTAAAATTGGTCAAAGTGCGCAAGGTGCACTCGGGAAGCAGTCAACTGTGTGTGGTTACGAGAGATGTATCCATAAATAAGTCAGCGTGAGCTAATTGCTCCACTAACAGATGCTCTCGCCGCGGGCTGCAGCTGTGGACACGCTCCAGTTCAGCTGATGTTCTTTTGGGTGGGGCTGGGCTGGGCTGGGCTGGAGGGTGTCGAAGTGTTTGCATAACTTAAATTAAATTTCTCTGCTAAATCTAATTTCTATGCTAAACCGAAAACAAATATCGTTGCTGGACATGGCCCTGTTGGCGTAACCAGGTCAGGCGAATAAAGTGTCATCCAAGCTGGATTTCGATGACATGGATAGCGGCAGCAGCAACAACAACAACCAAACTGGTGTGCCAGTTATAATCGGCCAGGGGCAGGGACAGGGACAGGGGCAGGGACAGGGGCAGCAGGGAAGCGGTGGATATGATCAAGGCACAGGTCGTGCTGGCGGAAACAGTGGCAATCGGCCGAAGATACACGGCGTGCGTGTGACAGTCGATACGGGTGACGGGCAGCAGCAAACGAAAGGTAATTAAATTGGCTCAAAGCACAGTCAAAGCAAAGGGAAAGGCAAATGAGACTTAACCCAGAAGAACTTTCGAATAGAATCCAAGGAGAGCGTCGAAATAACGGACTTGGGTAAACACAAGAAACGTGTGGGCATCCACACGGATATCACGTTCGAAATTACGGCCGAGGGGGACGCAAATGAGACGAGCTCCGCACAGCAGCACGGCGAGAAGGGTAAGTGAACGTTTGGCCACTTTCCCTGCATGCATTTCCACACTTGTCTCCCCACATGACCAATGCCAGAGGATGCCAGTGTGCCCATTTACAAGGGTCGTGCCAGCAGCAGCAGCGATTCCAAGCACAAGTCCAGAAATCCCTACGATCCCAAGTCACAGTGGAATCCCAACTACTCCGGCGAGCATCGCGGCTACGACGCCAGCAGTCCAGGTGGTTCCAGGCCAGGCACGGCTGGCTACCCCCAATATTATCCGCAGCATGTCTACACCAGCGGCGGCGATGCCAGCGCGGATGCCGGCAGCATCTATCGCAATGGCGAAACCTGGACGCACTACGTACCGGTGTGGACCACGGAGCGGTCGCCACATGAACAGAGTCAGCTACAACGACGCCCCGGCTGGAAGCCCTGCTACTGCATGTCCTCGTACGGCACCGACTACCGACGCCGTCGTGATAGCAAAAGGGGCCATACCACCAGAAAGGGCATAATCAAAAGTCGCGTTGCACACATTGACGGCAAATTGGAACAACCGTTCTCCTGATAGGCTCATCTACTTTCACAACTGCTCGAAAAGTATTTAGTCCTAACATGGTCTTGTAAACGAATAATAATTGTTGCTTAATAGACAAATTTACTGAACAATTTTAATATCTAAAATTTGTTTTTTTTGTGCAGTTGCCATTTTATCTTTTTATAAAGTGGAACCTTCGGTCTGAGCTGAGGTATAAAGCTGTCTCCTTACATAGAACTGTTGGGAGAAAATAGAGTATAAACACACGGTTTGGACTGGTAGGGCCCAAAATGTACAGTTCCAGTAGCTAGTATTGCTTCATTGCTTTTAATTTTAAATATACATTTTCCAACCTTTTTCCGCCCACATACAAGGTTTTAATAATTAAGTTTTAGTTCTATTGAATAATGAAACCCTAAAAATCAACATCTTCTGATAATTTTAGTCAAACTTAGGCTCGTTCAACTATTAATCCGCGTTTTTCATTCACGACGATGATGTCTACCAAGAAGAAATTGAATTTCCCAAAAATGCAAATAGTTATATATATAGAGATGAACCTTGAACCGAATAATAAAAAATTAAAGAACTTTTAGCGAGCCAAGGTGTCAACCTAAGGTTTGCAGATGTGGATGGCCGAGTTCACGACCCGAACTTTGGGGTAACCCATTGGTTTGAACCGAACCGAACAATCAAAAGGTTTTTTGTTCTGGCAGCCACAATCCACTTTAATGGATGATTTTTAAAACAATTTGTTGAACTTATAAAAATTAGGCTCCTTTACATTTGCTATCTGGAGACCAGCCAGGTCTTAATTGTACGGTCCACTATAATATAGATTTATTTTGAAGTTTAATATAAATACTCTATGTTATTAAATATTTTCTCTACCTTTGACCATTTCATAGTTCACGTTCAATTTAAAGTCTTTCTTATTTAATTTAATAATTCTTTTTATTATTTTTCGCATTCGATACTACTATTCTTAGTGTGGGTGAGAGGGAATGTTGGGAGTCACATCTTACGAGTGCACGCTGTAGGTGCTCACCTTGCCATTGTCATCGACGGAGGCGGTGGCCGCATTGTAGCCGAACTGCTTGCCATTCACATTGTAGTTCTCGCTCTCGCCAGTGGCCAGATCCTTGTAGTTCTTAACATGTCCGTCAGAGTCAAACTGAAGAGTTCATGAGAAGTGTGAGCCTTGCATGTGTGGTGGGCAGACCTAATTGCTACTCACCTCAGATTGGGAAGACCACTTGGATTGCTTCTCCCACTGCTTGGTTTGGTAGCCACTGTTGCCACCAATACCTCCGCCAGCGCCAAAGTTGCCGGCGCCCGACAGCTGCTGACCGCTGGTCAGACCCGTCGACAAGCCCAAGCCCAAGTTATTCTGGGCATTTAGCTGACTGTTGCTGGAGGAGCCACCCAAGAGGGAGCCACTCAGGAGCGAGCCTTGACTACCGCCCAGCAGCGAGCCACTCAGGAGGGAGCCGCTGTTAGCAGCGTTCAAGGAGCTTGCCGAGTTCAGGGAGCTGGCTGCGTTCAGGGAGCTGGCAGAGTTCAGGGAACTAGCTGAGTTGAAGCCGTAATTGGAGTTGAATGCATTTGAGCCGCCCAGTTGAACCTGGTTGGCGCTAGCCAGGCCGGCGCCGCTGCTGAGGGAGCTGCCAGTAGCTGCTTGCTGCTTGGCTGTCTGATGGGCCTGGTTGATGAGCTGATGGAGCTGGGAGCTGCCGCCGCCAAAGCTGAGGCCGCCTGTTTGACCGGCAGTCAACAGGGAACCCGAGCGGTGGCCAAAGTTGCTGCCAAAGCCAACGTTCTGGTTGACCTTGAAGGCAGAGTTGGTGCCGAAGCTGGAGCCCGTGTTGGAGCCGTAGGTGAAGCTAGCCGAGGGTTGCTGAATGATCTGTGGTGCAGACGCGGTAGTCGTCACCTTGCGCTGATAGTAATGCTCAGAGGTGCCGGAAGGCTGAGGAACCTGAACATACTGCACCGTGGGCTTCTGTTCCACAACTCGCTCCACATGCTGCACATACTTTTGCGAGCCACCGGGCACAGTGTAGACAACCTGCTGTGGTGCGCTGGACACAACCCTCTCGTGATGCAAGTACTCGACATTTCCGCCAGTGGCAACCGGTGCAGTCAGAGCCAAGGGCGCCTGCAGATTGCTGGAGAGCAGCGACTCGGAATTGGTAGATCCAGCACCGCCAAAGTTGACCTCAGTGCCGGCATTATTGGCGTCGGCAAACTCGACATTGCTGCCCACATTATGTGCGCTGGCGCTGTTAAAGTTGGCGCTGTGGCTGGCCTGGAAGGCGGAGTTCGAGGCGAAGGCGCTGTTTGATCCGAAAGACGCAGCGTTCTGTGCTCCGAACGAGGCCGCATTGTTGGCTCCAAAGGCAGCACCGCCGGCCACGCTGCTGCCAGTGCTCTCCGTGCCCTCAACGGCACCCACCGAGTCGTAGGAGCTCTCCAAGTTGCCCAATGAGGCACCACCAACAGCCAGATCCGCACTGCCGCCTACCCCAAAGCTACCCGATCCACTGCCAGAGGAGCCGTAACCACTCGAGCCATAGGCGTTCCTGCGGGCCGTTTCAATTGCTTGCTGATGCGCATTGAAGTGGCTGCAAATGGAATTCACAAATTCAGTTCCAATTGGATCAGCGATATATCTTATCAGATTTCCACAATGCAGCAACTTCGACAATTATCATACAATTTTTAGATAACTTTTATCATGGTATACTTAAATAAAAAAGTTGTTGCATAGTGTTCACTTTTGGTTTAGAATTTAAATCGGTTATAATTCACGAATTTTGTCTTTTTGCGTTTTGGGTTAGTACCATGTTGCCAATTGGAAATTTCGATTTTGTCAGATACAAAATGATATCTTCAATATTGCCGCACGGCACTTACCGACTGTGGAAATCGTCCCGCTTGTGTCTAAACGTTTATCAGCACACGAAAATTATATCAAAGTTATTATCATGGAAGGCCGTAAGGACTTGTCCAGTAACCAACTTACCTGTTCTGAAAATCTGTAAAAGAAAGATTAAAAGGAATGAGTATTAATTTATTTTTTCTCATTGATCATGATTTTTATTATAGTTGGGTAATTTGATAATGCCAAATTGAAATACATTCAGTAGAAGGGGCAATAATAAATTAACAAGTTAATTGGTTCAGTCAAATTTTGAAATCAAACTATGCTTTAAACCAGAACCTGGACTTAGGGAAGTGAAAACCAGTTTCACGCACCAAAAGTAGTTCATTTGAGAAGTGAGCAGAACCACGAACATTTTGTACTTTGCAGCCCTGATTCCAATAATGGCGCTTTGTTATCTTTAACAATGCCAAATTGAGCGCGCATCTTGTATCTTGTATTTGGACATATGCCTAGCATGTAATACTTTCAGTAAAAGGGACAATTTTAAATTAAAAGGTCAATTGGTTCAGTAAAATATTGGAAACATGTATCAAACTATGCTTTGAACCGAGCCGGGGTTCATTTGGGCAGTGAACCTGTTATTTTTGGCTTTGCAGCCCTGATTCCAATAATGGCGCATTCTAATCTCGGCACATGCTTGCATCGGGCCGTTACACAATTAGTGTTGTGTAAAATGTTCATTCAGGAGAATTACGACTTTACGTTATCAAGAAGCGAGTATTCCCGGAGGTAGCTGGGAAAATAACACGTTATGCAATGCACACGGAGAGGGAAAAGTCAAAAAGGATTGAAAGTGAGAGCTGCTCTTGACATCGTTTCCGATACTTTTGCACTTTCAATGGCACCTTGTACTTAAAAGGAGCTCTTTACCTGCACAGACCACACCCAGGCACAGAGCCAGCACCAACAACGATCTCATATTGAGTTCTTTTTTGAAAATATTCTACTTTAGCTGCGTAACACCGAGCGAGACTCGCGCCTGAATATGTACTAATGAATAGGAACGATTGGAACGCGCTTTAAAAACCAAACGAATGGCCCAGACGCCAATAGATAAGACCGAGCTCTACTCGGACTTGAAATGGATCGCTTCTTGACCTAGAGAGCTTGCCATTGGGCAGAGCAGATAATGTTAGCTATAGATGTGTTCTACGAAATTAAACTCGGAATTGGTGCAGAAACTCTTGACAGCATTTATTCAAATCAATGATGAAAGTAATTGCGACATAAATACACATATACATCAGTTGATTACCTTGTATGTGCCTCTATATAGACAGCTGATAGGAATTGTTTTCGTGTCGAAACCTTGCGTCTACAAACATAACATAGTTGCCATGTACAGTTCCTCTCAGAATAGGTACACTTATAAAACATACATGCACATTATGTTATATATAGTAATTTTCAAGCAAATGCCATTGAATAATGTATTATGGCATTAGAGAGTTTTTATGTTTACATTATATACTTTTGCTCTCGAGATGAGCTGAAAGAATATACGATTTTATAAAAGTAGAATTTATATTTAGTTTGTCAGATAGTAAAAATCGCATCTTAACCGTTGTTTCCTCCTTCTGTATTCTATTCATTATTTGTTAAGCTCGTACAAATACCATCTTAAAAAACTTCGTATTGACCCACATGATATAAGACCACCAGACTTTGCTTGTGCTAAGCATTTCTATTAATTTTACAAACCGTGCCACACACTTCTTAATATCTTGTTCTACTTTAACCCTAAGCTTACCAGTATAGCAGATTTATATGCATTTGCAACGATGCCTATTTAGTTTAAAATCGGACTATAAACAATAAGTACACTAAATATTCCACATCAAAAACCTATTAATCCTGTTAAGAGCACATTACACAGTAGGGTATTTCCAACAAATTTAACTACGTTTTCAGATTTAGTCTCTAAGATTGCTTCTCGCTTCGTGATTCTGAGCGCAGCAACTGTTTTATATGATAGTATAGTTTCTTGACTCTTCAATATCTATATAAGAGCATACTTTTGTGGTTCTTGTTCTTGAGATAGATTTTCTTTCCTACTCTCTCTCTCTTTCTCGCGAAACTGCCCCTAAAGGAGGCAATAATTTAATTGAATAATATTAAATTAACAGATTTATATTATGTCTGTTTCTGTAGGTAGTTAGGGTATGGGTAGGGGTAGAGGGGATTTGTTGCTTGATTCCAGGGTAGGTTAAGTGAATGCTTCCTTTTGGGTTGTCTAATTGCTGAGCTGTGATCAAGCAGGTTAATAGCCAGGTTGTTTGGATGGAGTTGCAGACGTCTGATTTAATTATGAACGTTAAGACTATGATATTCAGATGCCATACTTGTAACTCGACCCAAAATTCGGTTGTCTGGTTGCCTTACGACTTGATTGATAATCCGACAACTATTTCCAGAAGACGAGTTCTTAAGCTACGTATTAATAAGTAGTTTGATTATGTAAACTAGTTTCAAAAAAGAGACTCGCTCTTTTTAACGAAAATAAGTAATTTGTTTAAAAAAAGCTGTTTCTAAATACTTTCATTTCTTAACAATATCATTCATTCCCTCCGTTTGCAGCAAGCGTAGGGTTAAGGGATGGGAATCACTTGAACCGGTTTCAATACGCTTGGAATATTTGTGCGTATACGTTTTGAATCGAATTTTCAATGGCGCTTCCCGGAATTCATTTCGGTTGATTTGTAAATAAATACAAATGTAACTTGTTTACAAACAAAACATTCTGTTTTATTACTTCCGGTAAATGCTAATCAGAGGAATTCATGTGCTTAGAACTTCGAATCTGAAAACATCATCCAATTTGAGGCATACGTTATTTGCATACCCTAAATTATAATGGAGGAGTCAATGTGCATTTCGAAAGGTATCCTTAGCAAATATGTGCTCCTTATTAGGAATTATTGCATTTAAAGGAATTTAATAAATGCTTTGCCGGCACATAAATGAATTGTATTCCTAATGAGTCAAATTTTGTAGCTATACATAGACAACTTCCTGTGGTGCCTGATAAACTTTGTTCAGGTTATTGTCGAACTTTTACCAATTATATACGCAGATATACACAGACAAACACACATAGAAGTTGCTAAATAAATACAATTTTAAATAATAAAAACCGACAAAATCAAGGTCATGAGCTGTTTGTGAGTAAAAAAAAATAAAAATAAAGTAAATGAACAAAATTTGCATATGCTTATCATTCAAATAGACTGAATTATCAGTAGAAAGCCAAAGCAAAAAAAAAAAAACTTTCTAACAAAACCTGTCACAGTAAAACCCCATTAGACGAGAAAGTTCAACAAAAAAGTATATGGGATTAAAATATATATGAAATATGTATATTTTTGTGTTTGAAACATATAAATAGAGAATCGTTAATTTCGCAAGGTTTATAATATGCTAAACACCAAAATTTGCACTGAGCGAGGCATCTCTAGGAGTGCACCGAGTATGACGTCACCTTGCCGTTATCGTTGATGGTGGTCTGGGCGCCACGGCGACTGGTGCCATCGCCATTGCTGCTGCTGAACGAGGAAACGGAGACGCCCTTGTAGCCACCACCTCCACTGCCGCTGCCATAGCTGGAACCGCTGCTGGAGCCACCGCCGAAACGGTTGACAATGTTGGGCGTGGCCTGCGAAAGGGGCAAGAGAGTTAAGTTGGGCACTTTGCAGAGAGAAGCAGCTTCACTTACTGGGTTGGCGGGACTGATATAGGCCGTCTGCCTGTGTCCACTGGGTCCAATGGAGCCAGACGCAAGTGCATAGCTGGGCGCGTAGCGGTGCGAGTTGTACGAGCCACTGGAGCCACCCGCGTAGCTGTTCTGGCGCACTAGATTGTCGTGGTAGGCCTGCTGGGCGGCGATCTGCTGCTGGATGCGACTGCGAAAGACAAGCACAGCGATTAGAGAGAGCCACAGAGCACGACGAGCATCATCAAATGCGGATTAGTAGAAAGGAAAAACCAAGAAGGAAAGCAGTGTAATTACGTGTCATCGTCACTAATGGTCGCATCCGCGGATACGAACGCATCGCCAGACGTGGCCAGGCCCGTTATAGCTCTACAAGAATAGATTACAAGCGTTGTTGTTAGCATCACCAATGCCCACTTAAGCTACCCGGAATAACCGCCCACAGTATATAACCCCGACAATGCTCACTGTTGGGTTGCGTAGTTCTGGGCCAGAATCTGGTTGGTCAGCTGCTGATGGAACAGATACGGATCCGTGATGCCAAAATGTGATCCATACCCGACGCCATAATCATCGTAGTCGTTGTAGCCTCCAGCATAGCCACCTACTCCCGAACCGCTGCTGGCATACCCACCTGCATAGCCGCCGGCATAGCCCCGACGCCTACGGGACACCGGACGAGCTGCAAAGGAAAACAAAAAGAGTCAGGTTAGAAGATCTTAAGTATGTACTTATTTTCTAACAGCTTTTACGCTTTTAGCCCTTCTTAAATCTGGTAATAATCGCTCGTAAAACCATTTAAATTTAACAATTATATAAATGTTGAGAATGATAATCTGTGTATTTACAAATTTAATGAGGAATGTTGCAGTCTGGCAGTATATAAATAGTATATATATATATACAGTATATAGTAAATAGTATATAGTATAGTCAATGACAATGTAAACACTACAATTTGCATGCGACGCAAAATTTTTAGCATGGCTTCTCATCTGGCTTTTCCTACTTCACAGGACATGTCAGCCGACTGGCTATTCGTTCTTTGGTATAGTATATATTATATAGTATATAGTAGTTTTCATATATTATTTATATATATATATATATATATACTATTTAATACAGACTAGTATATATAATTATGGTATATATTATTTATTTTTTTTATATATATATATACATAGTGAAGTTAAGAACCGTTCTGCGTTGACAATTACATTTTTTCATGGGTCCTATATACTATATACATTTATTTGTTTTGCCCGCTTTTTGGTCAATAATTGTACTATATATATGATATATACCAAATACTCTCTATTACTCTACACTATCTAATATGCTGTTTATGAACTGTGTCTGACTGTGCTGCTTCTTGAACTTACACGATGCGGCATCAGCCTCACTATATAATGCACTCATGACGACACAAATAAGTAAAAATTTCCACATCTTATTGTATTTGCATTTGCGTTTAGAATTTGGTTGGTTCTTGCTGAAAGAAAGAAAAACAAGACATTAGTTTAAATGATTTTCAAATAGAAACTGGCCTAGAATGGTTGTAAATAAACCGGTTTGCCGCTGTAGATGTTGTTCTTGAATTTGATGATTCCGTATAAATTACATATATATTGTTTTCATCTGCTGTCGATGAGTTCTGCCTATATGCATTCATATATCTAGCTAGGCCCAGAACTATGCAAATCGTAAGTAATTCTAGCCCGACATTCTCATTGTTTCGATGCATTCTCACCTATTATCATTAGAGGCGGAAACAACTAGAAAACTAACAGAAAGCTAATGCAAAATTGTTTTTAGTCGAATGGACTAATGCACTGCATGTAATTAATCTTGCTTGGTTGGAGCATCCCCCGAAACCGGAGATACTTGTAAGCCCATCACGAGGCCAAATCAAACCGACAATTATTTGATAAAAATCCGATCATAAATTGTGCGCTTCTGAAGTCAATTTAATTACAATTACACGACTTTTCAATTATGGATTGGCGAAAATAATAGAGAAACGATTGGCAATTCAATGGAGCGGCAGATGAACCGTAAAGTTAGAAAATAACCAAATTGAAAGAGGAAATCCCCGAAATCTGAATTAATTGATTTGTATATGTGACTGTATATATATTTCGGTTCGGTTTGCTTGTCCAGAGATTTCTAAACCGGTTTGGCTAATTGGTTGCTCTTTTTTGTTTTTTTTTTTTAGCAATTAATAAAATTTTGTTATTCTTCAAAGCGTTTAACATTTCGGTGCGCATTTCGTACAGCACATCAATTTGCAGATGAGCGTCTTTTTTATTATCATTGTTTTCTATTATTTCTATACGAAATTCTGTCAGTCATGCGCTTTTTATTTGAGAGTTCTCAAAGTATTTTATTATTGCACTTCACTTTTGTGTAGCTCTTTGTTTGTGTGTTCCAATATAAGTATATTTTGGGGTTTTTTCCGGACTATGCCCATTTAATAAATCTCGGATTTAGCAGCATGTATTGGGCTCAGAATAATAATTTGATCATATATGCCCCTCAGCGCTTTCTACTCGAGCTCTGTGTATAAACCAGTCGTAAAATTAACATATGATTCGTAAATTTGCACAGCTCTAAAGTTGTAGTTGATTGTGTCTAAACATTTAGTGGGTATGCACGACAGTTGTCATCGTTTGTCACGCAAACAACAACTCTTTCGAGCACTATGTTTTGTAATGTTTATTGTCAAAACATGTTCTGCTGCTTATCAGACACGCGGCAGTTAATAGCAGGCACCCGAATGCCCTTTCCCTTGCCAGCACATACACACACACTGGCCAAAAACGGAATGAAACTGCGCCACAAATTCGCAAAGCCAACAAAACTATGGGAACCAACAAACGACGCGTCTGTTCACGGATCTCTCTCCCTCTCCCTCTCTCTCTCGCTCTCTGGGGAGCGGTCAACCTCGCGCAGCTCCGCTCATCAGCTCGATTCTGTTGGGAGCGCAACGCAGCGGAGCGTATGTAGTTGATATGATGAGCTCGACTGTGGTCCGGCTGAGCGACTCGCTTGGATTGCCAAGCTGGGCACGATCTTGGCCACGATGCCCTCCCACAAACCGCTCACTCACTTTTGACTCGTCTTTACTGTGCGACAACTTGGCTACGTCTGAGCTGGAACAGGTAAACACAGGTCCTCTTATAAACAGGGCCCGCTTATTGACAGTGACGAGCACCTTTGATGATGTCTACTTTTAACACACACACCTGCACCTACAACTATATATACTTATTATATTCATGTGTGTGTGTGGCTATATGGATATTTATGAACGTGTGTGTGTGTGTGTGTGTGTGTGTCTGAATGTAAAATCTTGGCTATGTGCTGCTTCGGTAGCTGACTAATTATAACAAAAGGTAAGCGTACCAAAACCACTTTACACTATCTATTTAAGCCCCGTAAAATATTCAGTTTTAAGTTGAACAACTTGGCAAGCAATTAATTAAACACACTCCACTCCAATTTAATTACCAATTGGCATTAATTTTATTAACATAATTCGTAATATTATTAAACAAAACATTCTAAAACATTCTAGATTTCAATTGTAGTTTAACTCACAAATTATTGCTAGGAACACCATTTGATAGTGAAAGCAGGGGTATTCAGTGTCAAAATAATTAGGGTGGGGTGTGGAATACTTCGACTTTTATGAATCTCGAGAAACACAAGCTAATAATGGAATACTTATGGCTCGAATTAATTCATACTCTTTCAAATCACAAGCACGTCAAATTACAATCGATTTACAAAGTAGTTTATACTATGAAAAAATGATCAAAATAAAAGAGTTCTTACAAAAATGTTGAAAATAAACTAGTTTTTAGCGCTATGAGCATAACAAACTATTTCCTACAAAGAGTCAGACACCTTACAGAGTTGGGAGCTGCAAATTTCGAATGTCTCGTAAGGATGTTGTATATAGTATAAAATATCTATGTGTAGTTACATATAAAATGTAAGGTATATATAATGTGTATGGTATGTTTCCGTTTAGTTTATCCGTAATACCTGATGCGATATGATGATATAACAATAACTACGATAAGGATGAATTGGGTGATCGACCGATCGACCAATCGACCTGCCCAGGCACTTGCGTCTTCGTCCTGCCGCCCCCTTAGAGCTTTGATTTCTCCTGCGGCTGCGGTATGATGACGTCTCGCCACCAGGCGGGCCGCTGGAAGGCGCCCTCGTTGGTCATAAATTCGTTTTGCAAGTTCTCGTAGAGCAGCCCGTCGGCGCGTGCGATAATCGAGTTGAGGGCAAAGTCCGGCGGGGCAATGGCATCTGCGACGCTCACAGCCACATCCTTGAGCTGGGCGCAGCTCTGCAGCAGGCGCTCCTGTACTGCCGCAGCGAAAGCCCCACCCACCGCAAAACCGCCCACATAGAATGTGGTCATATGATTCTCCAGCAGCCACATGGCATACACATCGTACAGCACACGCAACACATTCGCGTACGGCGGCTCCAGACTCAGCTGCTGCACGTGACCCACAAAGCGGCTGAGGGCACAGTACTCGGCATAGGCCAACGACAGCTCGCGCGCGCCCATAACCTGGGATTTGTTGCGAGCCTCAAAAGGATGGACACCAGCTGCCAATTGGGCCTCAATGTGGGCGCTCGTGCGGGACATGAGGTGGCACAGCAGCCACTCGTAACAGCTGAGCGCAACTGCAAGAAAAAGGCAAGGGTTATTCCAAGTTATGCCAAATTCGGGCAAAAGTTGTACTTACACTCCCAGCTGTCCAATGGACTCTGCTGCACCAGCTGTGTGTACTGCAGCTGCAGCAGCTGCTGGCGCCGCTCCAGGAACTTAACGCTGCCAATTGGCGACTCCAGCTCCTTGGCGCTCCACTGGCGCAGCAGCCAATTGGAGGCCTGCTGGCCAAGCACATTGTTGTCGCCCTCGTAGGTGCACAGCGGATCATGGTCGGTGCGCATCTGCCCCAGTTTGGCGGCACGTAGATATCCATGGCCGCCGCAGGCCTCACGAGCCTCCTGAATGGCATCACGTGCCGACCACGTGATGCGCGGCTTTGAGGCTGATATAATCGCATGTATCTCCGCAGCATTCTGTGTCTGCAATGTGTAGCATAATGGGAATATAAGATTAAAATAAGGTGCAATTTGTATGTCTTGTTGGAGTCTAGGAGAATTTCCTCTCAAATTAAAGAAAGCTCTTCAAGGCGTGTCCAATACTGAAATATTGTTACGGATCGCAGCTATTCGGGCTTTACTGTACTGTTGGGCTTCCCTGCAGAGTTACCTACCAGTATATCGAATCCATTTGAATCTGCCTGGGAGCGAGCGATGATTTCTAGATACGTATTGGTCATCTCCTCGACGGCAATCTTGAGCACACAGGCTGCAGCCAAATAGGGAAAGATCCGGTATTGCTGTGAAAAGAAATCTCAAGCATAAGTCTTGGAGGGATGCCTGCTGGAGAAGTATGTTCCACTTACGTGCAATTGGTACTCAATAATGGCGATCTCCTCGCCCTGGCGTTCGGGGCCAAACTGTTTGCGGACTGCGGCGTAGCGGACCGCGATGACAGCTGCGCTGCACAAAGTGTTGGCCGACTCCTGCATGATGCCAATGCGTCCGGCCGAGAAGCTCTCCAGTGCGGCGCCCAGAGCTTTGCCGGGCTCGGCGAAGACGCTCTCGTAGACGCCCTCGGGCGTGACATTGCCAGTCCGATTGAGAAGATTGTCGCGCGGTATGCGATAGTTGGTGAACACGACAAAACCGTTGTCGATGCCATTCAGGCCGCACTTCTCGCCAATGTCGCCGACCAGGACGCCCGGATAGGAGAGCAACGTTTTCGGATCACGAATGGGTAGGAGAAAGCCGTGCAGGCCGTGGTTCTCGCCGTCCGCCGTAATGAGATTGGCAAAGGTCATGGCTACGGTTGCCATTTTGCCCAGATTGCCCACCCAGCACTTGGCCGCCTCGAAGTCAGGTGTGTTGATCACAAACTCCTGCGAGCTGGGATCGTAGGTGGCCGTGGTGCGAATGCGCTTCGTGTTGCTGCCGTGCGAGAGCTCCGTAACGGCCAAACAGGTGATCACCTCCCGATTCCAGGCAGCCTCAATATACTTGGTGTGCTTCTCTGTGCCCAAGGCACGTATGGCATTGTTGAACAGGCCCACGCCGAGCGCTATCTTCACCGAGAGGCTGGGCGAGTAGCTGGCCAGCGCCTCGTTGATGTTCATTAAATACTTTGTCTTGGCCGAGAAGTTCAGGTTCTCAACCTCTTTAGGCACCAGATCCAGATGCTTCATGCGATTCACCTGCATGGCAGCCAGACGCTTCTGTTCGTCCATGGGCAGCGTTCGTGAGGCGTGTGCAAAAAGCGGATCATTTTCCAGGCGACGCCACACCTTGTACTGCAAGTGTTGTGAAAGTGAAGTGGGTTAATTACAGTTTGACAGTAACTGATGGTTAATAATAAACCCAATGTGGGCATTGTATCTAAAAGGTCAATTGTTCTTGATCCGAATACGAAATATATATATGAAATGCCAAACACCAATTAGAGATAGGCTCCGGAACGCTTGACTGTTATTTAAAGCGATTTTGGGTGAACGAAAGACTATATTGATCATATCAGACATTTTCAAAATGTGACGTCTCCTCCTATGTCGGCTATTTCATAGGGAAGAATCGGCAGCAACAAACATGACGGATCTGTGTCTCCTTTCTCGTTATAGATCTAATTGGTAGAACTTATTACAGTTAGTTTTGAACGTTGTCTTCACTCACCTTGATACGCAGTCCCTGCTCCTTTTCGAGGATCAAACGCAAACGCTTCCAGTCAAAGTTGGCGCGTTTGCGGTAAACCGCAAGAGCTCCGCCCGATGGCAGATCGGGTATAAAGCTTGTGTCCACGTTTTCCATTCTGATCGATGTATGTATGTATGTAACTGCAAATGGAATGAATATGAAAATCTGATCAGCTGAGTTGTTTACTGCTGTAAATGCGCTATGGCAATGCGGTTTCCAATTGGACTTCGTTGCACGCTCATTACACTGAAGTGGAGCACTTCAGCTGCGTTATCCGCAAGCGGGCGAAGCCATAGCAAAATAGACCGAATCGCTAGACAAGAGTCGATTGCCAGGTAAACCTCGCCAGTGGGACACTGGCGGGTTGCGGAGTCACTGAAACGCGGCTAAGCCAGATGTCACAGTTTTAGGGCCACTGCTCATTGCTAAGGGGTGAAGTGGCTTGACAGTAGCGTCCAAAATTATCGTACAGCCTTATCTGCAATCCAAAATCCAATCTTATGTCTCGATTCAAGTGGACTTCAATCCGAAACAAGCATTTGTTTGAACTGGGTGCAAAATTCTTGATGATAAGCACAGACGTAATTGAATTATCGGAAACATTCAAGAATTCAAGATAAACAAGCATCTGGCCCTGTTATTTGAATTCTGAACTGTAAAGTGGCAAAACAAAAAAACTATTGACTCATTCTACCATTTATAACAGGCACTTGACCATATCAGGCCCTAAACTTAATGCTCGTTTTAACACTTATGAACTACCATAAAAAATCACTCGTTGTTATTAACAAACGGCAGCGGCAAATGCAAGCAAATGGAAACAAATCTTAGACAACTATTTCATTTTTTATACCCTGAACCCATTAAGGATGGGTATAACAGGCAGAAGGAAGCATCTCCGACCCCATAAAGTATATATATTCTTGATCAGTATCAATAGCCGAGTCGATCTAGCCATGTCCGTCCGTCCGTCCGTCCGTCCGTCCGTCTGTCCGTATGTATGAATGCAAGGATCTCAGAACCTATAAGAGCTAGAGACTTGAAATTTTAGATGTAGTTGTTCCTAGGGCCTGCGCAGATCGAGTTTGTTTCCGATAATCGATAACTTACTCCGTTTCTAAGCAATCCATAAAAATCGATATCGATATCCTGTTTTTTGGACAATTTTGTTAAATAATAAGAGCTAGAGTCCCCAAACTTGACAGACATATAGCTTCTAAAACAGAATATATATATGCATTTGATGTTGGAAGAAGAGGGTTCAGGGTATCCCATAGTCGGGAGCTCCCGGCTAGAACCTCTAACTTGTTTTTTTGGACATGATAAATACCATTATTTTATTTAAAATCTGTCATACGTTGACAAACTATTTCTGATGATGTTTGTATGCCCATAAGAACATTTGAAAAAACTTACTTTTAAGGTTACATCAATTTTCGTTCACATTTCTATTCGTAATCAAACCAAAAGACTCAGGTTTATCATTTATATACATACATATATTATAATCAGCATCCAAATTATCAGCGAGTTCTTTATTCGTGCTCGCCTATCTACAGTCTACTATCTAATAAAAACAGATCTTAACATTATTTTTCGCTTAACATTATAATAATTTTTATTTAATAGATCTGAGCATGATATTCGAATTCTATTCCACTGTAAGACACGAATTTTATATCTGGAGAGCATTTTGAATTGCGAGTCAATAAAAAACCAAAAACCCTTTTGAGCTAATTAGCATGAAGCCGGCAAAAAAAACGTGCTTAATATTAGATATTCTATGCTTTTTATGGATTTTCAAGAGTATAATTCCCGTAGCTAAAATGTTTTATTAGCACCTCTCACGCTGCCGACAGTCGCCTCCTCTCTTTCAACATCTCTCACTCAATCCCTTTGTCTTTCTCTCTCTTAACTTCTATATTCTAGAGAGATAGAGATAGGACACTGTTAGCTACCCTGTATCCTACTGCTCAAAGTCTGTTCTCTATATACATAATAGTTATATTCATGTTAGAGTCACAAGTGCTTGACTTTAGGACAACCTGAAGAAACTTTCTGAATAAGACTTAATATATATGTATGTGTACATATAGGTGTGTACATGTGTGATATTGGATAACCGAACGTGAAGTATACCCGGTTCGAGCTTTTAAAAGACAGGGTATACACTTGAGCACATTGTAAATACATGAGAGAGCAAATTTGCGTTTGTACTACCAGGTCGTACTCGTTTACGGATGATGGATGAAAATTGAAATATAAAAATATCAACCAATTGCTTTAGTGGTTTTTTGTAGTTCAGTAGAGCGTAATAATAAAAGTAAATATGAGAAGCACTTGAAAATGAACAGAAAAGTGGGCGTGCGTCAGTCAAAAATGAAATTCACGCGAACAAAATAAAAACTATAGCTAAAGTCGACCACGTAATACCCTTGCACTTGGTTTTTCCGCTGCATGGAGAAGAAACTACAAGATTACATGGTTAAATCCAAATTTAGCAATGTTATAAATCGATTTTGCATTTCCATTCCAATAAGAAAACACCAAATGCTCGTAACCATTAAACCCTATCCCTAGAAAACCGAGTGTACATTCGCTTCAATAAAAATAATTGTAATGAGATATCGTTTTATATAGATTTGATCAAAAGTGGTTAAATTAATTTGGGTATTTTTGTTAATTAGTTGCGTTTCCGCCCGAATTGTCGTCACACGAACTTGGCCTTTGATCTGTTGTCGAGGGTTGGGTATGGCCGCCTTAAAGTTGGGCCAAGATAAGAACCTATCAGTCAATATACTGTTATTGGGGTAGGAAATAAACGTATATATCGATTTATACTCTTTCTGTGCTTTTTCCAACCTTTATGCCACACTTAAGAAAATACTGCGCCAACCAGTCAGTGGTATGATAAGCCTATAATTTGCTTATACGTACAAGAACATAGGGTATATTCATATAAGTATGTATGTATGTGTGCTAAAGCAACACCGCACTCCAAGAGGAATGCCAAAAAGCGCCAATTGGATCATTGTTGACTTGGGCTGATAAGATATGTATGTAAATGCTGCATTAGTTTAACAGCCACTGTTCTGCTTGCAGTCGGCACAGTGGATGTCAAACTGCAATCTCTTGAAGCTGCCAGAAATGTTGGCATGCGCCTGACCAATTTGTCAGCGTACATTTCATATGCAAGTGATTATAAACAAATCACCAGCCATTTAATATAATTAACATTATCACTAATCCGTACTTGAATTCCGTGTAGGGCACAATTTTCCCCAATCGGCTGATATGTGCCCACCTGGGCTCACCGTAAATATGCACACAGTATTGTGAGAAATGAACTCGGACTGGAGCTGGCGCTGTTGTTATGTTAAATGAATTTACAATGCAATTTAAACATAACTTTAAGTGCTGCAATTCGCAACGGCAATAATAAAATAATAAAAAGCTGCAAATGTTAATTTCACTGTTATTTACATGTCGCAATCATTGACAAATTGCTGAGCACAAACACATTGACAGTTTGACAGTCTGGCGGGCAATTCAATAGCTTCGCGTGTGTGTGTGTGTGTGTATGTGTCTGTGACATAAATAAAGCTAATTGTGTTTTCTTTCCTCTTGCGCTCTTCTCTGTTGCCCTACTGTTCTGCAGCTGTTGTTGCTCTCGCAACTGCTTATGCGGGTGGCATGCGTGACTCCGAGTCGGATTCTGATTGGACTCCGAATCTGAATGCCGCCACATGATATCATGACTCGCAGTGCAAAGCACAGGCGCACACACACACACACACACACACACGCATGCAGCGCTGTTGTTGCCGTTTGTTTTGTTAAGGACTTGAGTGAAAGCTCCTATTACATCACCGCACAACAAAACCACTTGGTAAACAGTTCTACGGTATTATTACAGAATGCAGCAGAGAGTCAAATGACTACTGAATACACTCACAATTGTCTCTGTGTGTGAGTGTGTTTGAATATGTTATTCACCAACCTGTAGCGCTTCCTGCGGACACCGCCTGAGATTGGACTCTTTTTGCCGGGCTTAGCTTCTGTATTTATTCGGCGCTTGACACAGGAAATTTGTTGTTTATCGCAATCAAATAGTTCAACTTTGCCGGCTGTGAGAACAAATGAATCTATCGACTAATTGGAATAAATGCCACGAACTGAACAACACACGAAACGAATCAAAAAACACAGCAAAGAGCAACGGGCCACGCGACCAGCAGGACTGACCGAACCGACACAGCCAACAGATGAGAAGTGAGTGAGCGGAGCGAGACTGACGCTGACTGATTCATAACAAACGTTCGTGCTGGAACCCTACGTTAATAGGGAGCGACACACACACACACACACACAAGCTCCCACATACGCCAGGGAGCACGGGCAGTTAAATACAATCACAAGAACGTTACTAAGTCGGCGCGAACACGCTGGCTGAGCTCAATGTCAAGCGCCAAGTGCGAGCGAGCCGGCAATCGAGCTGCCGGCCGGCATCTTTGCCAGATAAACAGAATTGCATGTGTGTGTGGATTTGTGTGCATGCACGAGCGAAAGAGAGTGTGGGAGAGGCCAATTTAAGGTGCGCAGATGGTGAGTAAACTTGTTAGATGTGCATCTAAAACTGTAGTTGAGCCGAATACATTGGTTAAAAAACTGACCGGTCAACTACTGTTGCATGCGGGTTCGTGTCTTCGCTACTGTTAATTAACATGGTTGACCTGTTTGAATAAATTAACTAGTCATTCATTTATGATTGGTTGATTATTTAATTAAATAGGGGCAGAAAAAAATTCTAAGTATAAAATCAACAGTAATTGGGCTCCCTTATAACAAATTGGTTATTTTGGAGAATCGAGTGACTTATTTATAGTCATAACTACCGAGTAACTAATCAAAATGTTGTCAAATGGCCTAGACTGTTGTTGCTGGGCAAGAATTTGTATACTTTATGGGGCTTGATAAGTATATTTGTACCTTTATACCCGTTTTACCTAGACAGTAAAACAGGTATTTGCCGAAAATTGATTCATTTTTATTACTTGGTACGATTAAATTTCATAAATTATGATCAAACCGAAACAAGAGTCCGTTACAAACAACGTCGGATACTCCCGACCGGAATACTCTTTATTGTTTATTGTGTACTCAAGACGCACAGTCCCAGCATGACCGACAAGATTACAAAACATCATGAATCCATCAAATAATCAAAGTAAAAAGCAGCTACGGTAAAACATATAACCTATATTTAACAGTTATTTCTAGACTATTTTTCAATTCAACTTTAAATGTATTTAAAAATGTATAAAATTAAATGAATGAATTTTCATGAAAACGACAGAGATAATTTCTGGGAAAACATAATATATTCTTTGAATCGATTGTTCCTATGGCAGCTATATGATATGGTGGTCCGATCCGACCGATTACGGCATATATACTGACTGCAGCAAAAAGAAAGACCTAGGCAAAGTTTCAAGAAGATAGCTTTACAATTTAGAGAAACATGGAAACAGATAGACGGACAGTCGGGATTTAACATATTTCATGTAACATATGTTACATATTTTACATGTTAAATATTTTACATATTTTATGACAAAACTAGAATACCCTTTACAAAACTCTAAAACTCAGCAATTGTCAGTCGAAGTCATTTTCCTATAGGTTCACGATTCGGTTTTTTCTGCAACTTCCTGTCCGTGGTAAAAATTTCTACTTTAATGTCCATCAACGGCGAGAATTTTGATTGCGTTTGCGACCGAATTTTTGAATCTGCGGAATCCAAAAAAGAACAAAAACATTAATAATTGATTGCATTGTAATCATTTTATTTTCAAAAGGTCTGAAATATCGAAATATTTTACCATTATATTGGCTGGGTATTAGTGTCGTCTAATTGATTATTCTGATCAAATCGTGTGTCTGTGTTAATTATATTACTAATTTGACTCGGTTATACAAAGCGCAGATGAAGTATTGTAAGTAGGTATTGGTAGAAGACGTAAATCGTAAATCGTACAAAAACAGTATTAAATCGTAACTATAGTTTGGTGCCTAGTTGGGTCTGGCTTAGCCGAATATCTTATCGAAGCAGGCGTGGCAGTAGGGCTTGTCCTTTTGCTCCTTGAACGTGCCCTTGTTCAGCTGCTTGAGACAGAAGGCGCACACAAAATGTTCCGGATGGAATTTCTTGAACATGGCCGTAATGCAGCGACCCGTTATGGGCTTCGAGCAGCCGGCACAGAGCGAACCGCGCTTGGCATGATAATGTGTCTCGCAATAGGGCAGACCCTCGTGGTCAAAGAACGAGCCACCCTGGAACGGTTGTCGGCAGTCCTGCGAGACGATATAAAAGACAAAATTCACGATTAGTTGAAATATCTATGTAATAATATGTAAATGTTACTGCGCCATATTCCGCAAGTGCACCTGCATGTAATTAAAACGAAAGAACTAACATTTTGGATGATCTATTATGAGGCGAGTGTGTTTTAATATTCGTCGCTGCGAACGGGCCAAATAATGCTAATTACACCATAAATTAGGAAAGCCCACGTTCCTTCACACATCTCTCAGACGTGGGAACATTTTGAGAATTCTGAAATTCTGCAAATTGTGTGAAATTTTACAGCCCAATTACAATTTTGTCAAACGAAATATTGAAATGATTATTGGCAGATGCTTTTGTACAAAACATTTGACATTCACGTTATTGAAAAACAAAGGAAAGCCAGCATATGATCGAAATGATCAATTTTGGCACATTTTGGGACGCAGCTTTGTTTTTTTTTTTGGTGTTTTGGAAAAACATTTCTACAGCAGCAACAACAACAACAACAACAACAAATCACATTCATTTGAACAATAACATTTTGCGCACGCTTTTGGCCCAGCTCCAAGGCACGACAGATATAGAATACATACGAATAGATAAATGAAAATAAAAATATAGATTATAAAATATGGTGCTGGCAACAATTAAATATATTGCCTTGGAAAACACAGACAGCCGCCGAAACGAATGCGACAATAATTCTAGCTATGCTTGAAATTAATATCCTAGTAGGTTGCCTTATGTAATCCAATCTTTCTGCTTTAGCTTACTTTTATACGATAGTCTAATGGAAATGGCTGAGATAGAGAGGGAGAGGCTTTACGAATCTCGGAGATTACTTCAACTAGGTAGGATAGAGAACTATTATATTGTTATAAGGCATATAAATAGTCAGAGAAGGGGAACTTCTCGAGCCAGCTTCCTAATGATATAACAATGAATAATCTTAGAAAAAGAAAAGGATGCTCATAAAAATGTTCTGTGCCAATAGACTCAATGAAGGTGTTCAACTGAAGCCTCCTTTACTTGGTCTTAAGTTATCTAATCCTTCTGAATTGCACTATAAAATCTGGGAAGGAACAAGTTTATAAAACATTTATAGATTTCTTAAATTCTCAAGTCAAAGTCAACAGCTTTAAAAATATTACATTGAAATGTTAGATTTATCTAAGTGATCCTCTGATCTTTTCAAATCGTATAATACTCTCTTCCCAGAAAGAAAAAACAGCTGCATAGTTTGTTTAATTCCTTGTAAACTATTATTTTGCTTTTATATTTGTAACAGGGCCAACAATATTAAATAAACACAAATCAGAATCTTTGGCATTTTCCAGCATTCAAATTTGGCCCTGATATATTTGTTATATGGAATTCATTTAAACGGAATTTCTATCGCATTTGAAAGAAAATCTGTTGAAAATCTATAAATATGCATACTTCTCAAGATATGCATTCGTTTTATTTATTTTTAGTTAAGTTGCATGGGAAAATGACAGATAATAAGCGCAGATCGGGACTAAACTCTAAAGAGTTCAAATAGCGCACAGTTTCCATGCATAAAGTAAACAGTGAAAGAAATTATTTACATATTTGAGAATGTGTTATAGAAATGTACTCGTGAGTACAAGCGTTTTATATATATACATATATATATAAAAATCATTTGCTAATTTTGTGTGTGTTTTGTTTATGAGCGAAACGTCAGCAACGAAAATAGTTTCCACTTAGTTAAAACTGACCCCGCAGCTGCGCAGGGGGGTCAGGGGGCGTTGCCGCTAATCTAATCCCAAAACCTATGTAGCAATATTGTAAATTGTTTGCAAAGAACAACAAAATCAAAATTGAAGGTCAAGGAACGCGACATGCGAACATTCCCATTCCCATCAAGGTCAAGATCTTGACACTGATCTTAACTTCTCGAGAGGCGTGGCTTGGGCTGGCTGGATGGGCCTAGTTTATAAAACTGGCCCACAGCCAGCCAAGTGCCAGGCTCGAATTAGATGTTTGATGTTCTTTGGGTTTTTGAATTCTATTTTTTTTTTTTTTATTTGTTATATTTAATTGTTAAAATTTTATTTACAAAAACAAATTACAATATTGCTTCATAAATGTTTAAATTTAAAAAAATACCTAAAAACTTAACGCTAAATTGCATATAGAAAAGCTCAACAGTTTTAAGGGGCGTGGAGGTACTCTAAACAGGGGCGGGAGACATGGCCGTGGCCATCATAAACACGGTTAAGCGTGCGGCCCGGGCGGCAACAGCCGACCTGCCCAGTTGCCTGGTGGTCAGCCGTGTCCAGAACCCAGTTAAACCGCCGCCTGTGTGTTGTGTGTGGTGTGTGTTGTGGGTGTGGTGTCTGCTCCTTTAGATATTGTTGCTGCTGCTGGATGGTTGGAGACAGCGAGACACAGGTGGCAGGTGGCAGGTGGCAGCAAGTCGCGCCCCGACAAAATAAAAAGATTTTCACATATTCAACGAAAATAGCTCAGAGAACGTGTGAATAAAGGCGATGAGAGCAAGGAGAAGAGAGACAGAGAGAGCGAGAAGGAGAAAGTGGGACGCAGCTGCCGCTGGGTAAACAACTATATGCAGATACAAATTGTATCTGGGCGGGGGCTATTTTCGGGCTGCTGAACTTCAACAAGTTGTTATTGTTGCCGCTGCTGCTTCTGCTGCTTCAGCTGCCTCTGCTGCTGCTGCTGCTGTTGCTGCTGTTGGTGGCGCCTATTCCTCCTCATCGACGCCCACACATTGCGGACAAACGGGCTTGCCCTCCATGGCATAGAAGGACTTGCCGCGCACGGCCTTCTTGCAATCCTATATATATATATATATATATATCATATACCATACAGATGGATAAAAGAACTCTTTAAAGTTAGGCAGGGGTTGAGGCTGTTACTTACCCGGCAGACAAAGCAATCCGGATGCCACTGCGAGTTCAAGGCGGAGATGTAGTTCTCCATGATGGCACGGTTGCAGCCATTGCATTTTGGCGCAAACATCTCAAAGTAATCGTTGCGGCAATAGGGTTTGCCGTCGCGCTCATGGAAGCCATCCTCGCCGAACTGCTGGCCGCACTGGGCGCAGAAAAAGTGCTCGGTGTGCCAGGTCTTGTCCAGGGCCGTCACGCACTTGTCCAGAATGGCGCCGTTGCAGTAGGCGCAGCGCGGACTGAACAAATTGTGGTAGTCGGGCTCGCAATACGGGAAGCCGTCGCGCTCAAAGAAATTGCGTGTGCCCAGCTCCTGGCTGCAGTGATTGCACGTAAAGTGCTCCGGATGCCAGGTCTTGCCCAAGGCGGTAATCACCTGGCCGACAATCGGTTTCTCGCATGCATTGCAGCAGCCCTTCTGCACTGTGTTGACACCCTGGCGACTCATATTGGCCTGCAGGTTGCCTAGCATAGAATCCAACTGATCCTCGCGACTATCCTCGACTATTGTCGTCTCCTCGATCGTTTGCGTCAGATGCGCCTGCTGTGTGCCCCGGTTTGGCTGTGCGTAGTCCGTCACCTGCTGCTGCTGCTGTTGATGCTGTTGCTGATGATGCTGTTGCAGCTGTTGTGCTGTTCCTGTGCTCGAATGCTGCCCGCTGCTGCTACCGTTGCTGACCTGCCAACAAAAAACAAACAGTGCGACAAATTAGTTAACTAGTCCATCTGCTCGATTATCCGTGCCTCTTACGTCGTTGCTCGATGTGCTCGGCTCGACTGAATTCAACTTTATGCGCGCGCCAACAGAATAACTTTTGCTTTTTGCTATACCCCAAAACGCCTCAAAAATTTTTCTTACAACAAATTGTTGTACGTGTTGCCTTTTGTTGTTGTTGTTGTTATTGTTGTTGTGGATTTGGTCTGTGTCTGTGTGTGCTTCGTTGCGCACGACGCTCTCCTCATAAATACGCGCCGAGCAGCATTTCTAGTTGACGTAGTTTTTGTTCATTGCCAAAAATACGAAAAGCCAAGCAACAACAACAATAAGAACAACAACTACAACAACAACAACAACAATTCCGATTTTCTTTTTGAATGTCTGTCTGCTGTTATGTTTTTCATATTTGTATACGGATTTTGCTTGTGTTTCTGTTTCTGTTTCTGTTTCTGCGTGTCGTGCGAGTTTCCATTTCAGTTTTCTTTCATAAACTTTGCATATTCTCTGCCGCTGCGCTGTCAGCTGCCCAAACTAACCTAGACGCCTAATTGAGTGCTATACTTCTGCGCATGAGTGAGTGTGTGTGTGTGTGTGCGTGTGAGTGTGAGTGTGCGTGTGCATGTGTGTGCGTGTGTGTGCTTAGCTAGATATCTATCTAAATAAACAGGGACGTTTCAGCACCAAGGAGGGCTTAAAAACAGTGCTCTTATCAACACATAATTAGTTAAGCCAGTGTTGATCAATGAACACGCACACATGCACATATACACATATGCAACACTCACACATGCACATCGGGTGTGCGATCACACTTTATGGAAGATGCTTTCTTGAATAACTTCAATGTTTTTAGTACGATCTTAATGAAAATTTAAGGACTTAAAAAGCATATTCGATTTTTTCCATTTATATCAAATTAAGGTCCGAGATATAGTCTAAAAACCATTTTGAAACAATTGATTTTTAACTAATTGAAACAGAGGCAGTTCTCGATCGTTCTAAGTTACATCAACCTAAGTCCCAAGTTTATAGTCTCTACCTTTTGTAGTTTTTGAGATCGACGCCTTCACAGAGAAAGACACTCGGATATAGCTAGATAGACCCGGCTGTTGATGTCCAGCAAGAATATTTACACATTATGGAGTCGGAGCTGCCACCTTCTGCCTGTTACATACGTTGCCAGAGACCATTTACCCAATTTTAATTAGTTCAGGGTATACATATAAATATGTTCACATCAAAGATGGTATCCTTAGCTCAAACTAGGTATTTTTATCTGCATTTATCCATAAGTAAATAAAGAAAGCAATAAAACAAATGTTTTGCATCTGATGACAGAGATAATAAATTTCGGATTTTAAGTCTAAAGATCTAATTTATTACAAGATCGACACTGTTCCATTCATTTGTACTGAAACATTATATGCATTTTCAAGAATCAAGCAAGGATCAAATTTTTGTCTCACTTTATCATTGAGTTCTGCAATAATGCCTGCTTAAGCAAAGCGCCCATCGTAGAAGCAACCCTCAGTGCGCTACTGAATCCGATTGGCTTTCAATTTGATTTCTTTTGGCGTTGGCGGGATTTTGGGGCTATTTAAAGAAAAAAAATGTAGATACGTCTGCGATCAGAACCTCGTTGGGGCGCTATAAAACTGAAAGCTTGCCGGTTGGCCAACAGGATTTCCCCATAAAAAGCGCAGGGGCACGTTCCCGCAGCTGGCACATTGGCACACGCCGAACAGCAAAGATGCAGAAAATTCGGCTGCAGGTTGGGCTAACGGCCGGCGGCACAGGAAGATGCCAAGAGGAAATTTCGATCAATGAGCGGGTTTTGTGAATGAGGCGAACGGGGCAGACAGAACGGAGCGGAGCGGTAAAGACCCACAGACAGACAACAGATTGCCCATACGGGGCGGCAATGAAAACAAAAAAAAAACAAACCGTACAATATTATACAGCGTTCAGACAGAGCAATAATTATAGACACATACTTATACAAAGATAAACTTGTGTATAGCCAAATGAAAGAATATTAAAAAACGTGTTCAAAAATAGCCATGCAAATGATTTGCAATGAAAAGGCTGAAAAATAAATAGAAAAACTATAACGAGCGCTCCGTGGAAAAAGTGTTGACAGTGGCGACCCAAGAGGGGGCCGGCAGCAGTTGCGGGGGCGACACCATCTGACTGCCAGTGTCGTGTGGGCGCCCCGAAAAGAGCCCAGCCGCAGCGACCAGTTCTGTGTTTTCGGAGGTGCCGTGTGCAATATTGTTTATATATTTATCGTGTATTTTATATTTTTCGCCTTTTGCACACACACACACAGACACACATACACACACACAGAAGAGGCCAATTTGATTTTCATATTTATCATCTCTTTGCGGCATATCAACAAAAGTCACGGACACGCCGCGACTCGCAACGACGGCAAAAATTGGAAATGATATTAAATAATTAACAGACACGGCCACACACACACACACGCACACACCCACACATATGCATGCACACTTTCTCTATGATCATTCGTCAATGACATTGAATTAAAATATTTAATAGCCCGCCCCTCCGCCCACTCTGCTTTTTGTGACCATCAAAGAAAATCTTATGCACTTAGTAATTAATTATTAATTAATTAGATGTAAAGAATGTGGCTAATTAATTGCATTTCAGCATGATTTGCCAAAATTGAAAGGTTGACCACGATTCCAAGCCCGGACCCCGACGTAACCCAATATATGCCAAAAGTCAAATCTAAATCAAATCTAGTCTAGACCAAAATAGGCAACAAATAATTAAGCAACTTTTCAATTAGAAGTTTGTCGCATCTTAAGCAAATACTGCCGAGAAGAAAGAGATAAAAGCCCCGCCCCTAATTTTTCTACAATAATATATTAGAGTCTGATACCCGTTATGTCGATCATTTCCAATAATATATATACTCTTCCAATATATATACTCAATTTGAAATCACATTTTGATCACATGCTAGAGCTTGCTTGAGATATCTTAAAAAACAGAAAAACATTTTATGCATCAATCGACAGTCCCTAAGGCAGCCTTGCACTACGTCTTTCGATCCAAAAGGAAGCTTCAGTTAACAATTCGAATTCGCCAAAAAAAAGCTCTTTATTGAAAATGCGCTCTTTAAATACTTGAAATGTGAAATTCATAATCTCGCCATCAGATGCAAAACATTGTTCTATTGCTCGCCGAGTTATGCGGGTGGAAAATCAATTTGGCATCTTAATCTGGCAAAATTCACGTAAAAATGGTTCCCTCCAATATCCTATCTAGGTCAATATTTCCTACCCCCATAGCTCGGTCAAAACTCATCCGATTTTCTCGATGTTTAGCTTTTTTTATCATCGTTTGACCTCACGATTAGCATAATACACATCGAATCACTAAGAAGTTAAAGATGTTTATTTCATTTCTAGGAATCTATCTATCCCAAGCTAAACGAGAAAGAAAGGCTATCTTCGGCACGCCGAAGATCTATTTCCAAAATAATAAATAGTTCTATTAACAATATACTTTTAGACATTCGAGACAAAGGCACAAACGGTAGGACGGACAGACAAAGCTCATATAAATATTGTAAAAAAATAAAAAGGCTATTCTAATTAATCAGAAGGACACTCAAAAGTACTCAACTATATTTCACAAAGTGAGGAAAAGCAGAGCACGAATTAAGAAATTGTGAAAAACTTTTCAATAATATAAACTCCTGCTTTACGCACACGAAATGTTCCATTTAGTACTGTTTCCATTTAATGGATAATTTCTGTTTTATTATGCACTCAAGTTAATTACTTCGACAAGCTGTCATATGGCTGGCCCCAAGGACACCCGCAAATGAACTGCATGGGAATTCAGTGGGCCTTGACACAATATGGAGAATATACTTATAAACAAATAACTGGGCAGCTGCCCGGCTGTGAATGTTTTGTCATATATGGAACGAGCGCGTGCTTGTCGAGAAAAAATATGACAACAAAATGCAGAGCACATCTGCTCAGATATATCATCATCATCCATCCGTTGTATACAATGTCAGTTCGTTTCTAAAAACAAATGTGCGGCAAATGTAAAAGCGCAAGAAAAATATTAAAAACCCCAAAAATTATACAAATACATAATCAAAAAGCGGAAACCGCCTATGGCCCGGTCTGCTGCCGGCTGGGCACATGGTTCGTTTATCGTTTAGAATGCAAAATTGGCAAGTTTTGTTTACTTTATGGTTATTGATTGATTGTTTTATGGACCTAGAGATACCCGTTAAGTATTTATAGGGAAATTTATGGGCTTTTACCTTCGTGGCAGCGTTTGCATTATCTCTCTCTCGAATGTGACATTATTTGAGATCATATATATATACATACATATAAATATATAAGCGAGACCGTAAAGTATGAGAATTTATGCAGCTTTTATAGGTTTCACCTTCAATTTTATTTAGCATAAGTCAAAGTCAAGAGCTCACCGGGTATCTAAGGGAATAACACACAGGTATAACTACAGGTTCGGGTTAGCATCATTAGATTTGCTTGAGCGACATGCGTCACACGATTTGACATGATAAATTTGTTCATTTTATAGTTTTTATTAACATTTTAAACAACTTATATACGAAATATAGACTACAAACGTTTCGGTTCCGCTTTGTTTAGTGCCAAAAATATCACAAATACAAGGGAGCCTTAGATCTAATAAACAACTACATATATATATTTAATTTTCTCTAGCGTCAAATTTTCTCCTGACACTTTTTCAGTGAAAACATTTGGTGAACTGCAACGCAGTTAACGAGCAAAAATGTGTTAGTCAAGCATATTTCGATATTAACTAGCAGATACCCTACTAAAGTGAAAGTGGCACAGGATGCAAAAACGACAAGAGTATTTCATTTTTGAATTGTGGGTAAACACTTTCTTTGTAACCTATTTTTCAAAAGTACAGATAGACATTCAAGTCTGAGCTGCTTTTCGCAGTTACAATTTCATTGATACCCTTTTTAGTGAACTCAAAAGAGTACAGGGTAAAAAGTGCCTATAAAATATACATTTTTATATTATCATCATTATTATCATGCATACCATGATGAAACAAAGTTAACAACAAGTTTACAGATTGGAGTCTAAGGCTACGAAATCTAACTTATGTGACATAACATATATATACATACATATACTGAATATATATATATAGACTACTCGACCGACTGATAAGTTATCCTCGCACACCCAGACTGTAAGAGGTACTAAGCTGAATAGTTTACTGTAGTAACCTTCGGTAAAACAGAAGAGCGATAACATGAGGTCTGGAAATTTCACCCTTCAAACTAACAGAACATGATTGTAGGGAACTTTTTACAATTCGATCGCCATCAAATTCATTTTCAAGATTATTTGCATATATAAATATGTCCATCTCTTAAATATGCGAAAGTTAAACTTTCGGTTCTATGCTATAGAGATCTATCTGTATCTGTAATTGTATCTGTATCTGTAATTGTATCTGTAATTGTATCTGTAATTGTATCTGTAATTGTATCTGTAATTGTATCTGTATCTGTATCTGTATCTGTATCTGTATCTGTATCTGTATCTGTATCTGTATCTGTATCTGTATCTGTATCTGTATCTGTATCTGTATCTGTATCTGTATCTGTATCTGTATCTGTATCTGTATCTGTATCTGTATCTGTATCTGTATCTGTATCTGTATCTGTATCTGTATCTGTATCTGTATCTGTATCTGTATCTGTATCTGTATCTGTATCTGTATCTGTATCTGTATCTGTATCTGTATCTGTATCTGTATCTGTATCTGTATCTGTATCTGTATCTGTATCTGTATCTGTATCTGTATCTGTATCTGTATCTGTATCTGTATCTGTATCTGTATCTGTATCTGTATCTGTATCTGTATCTGTATCTGTATCTGTATCTGTATCTGTATCTGTATCTGTATCTGTATCTGTATCTGTATCTGTATCTGTATCGTATCTGTATCTGTATCTGTATCTGTATCTGTATCTGTATCTGTATCTGTATCTGTATCTGTATCTGTATCTGTATCTGTATCTGTATCTGTATCTGAACCGCCCAAGCCACGCCCGCCAAAATACGCGTATATTACACAAAATGGAAAGCTTCTTAGCTGTAAGTGCTATAGTTTGGAACATAGACTAATGTTGTCAACATATACACTGCTTACAACAGTTTATGTATATATTCACCCTTGCAGAAAATTTTTTTGAAAACTAAGTTTCTAGTTTATTTCGCCTGGTCATGATATGATGCTCCAATAGTTGCTTTGCAGTATATTTAACCAATAACCAGAATCAGGATTTTCAAATTGTAAGCTTAATTGGTAAAGCCAATAATGATCTTGAAATCTTGAATGTAATAAATGTCACAAAAATGGTTATCACGGTTTCTTTTAAAGTAACAGAAACTGGTACCATTTTAATCGCTGTCAATTGTGTAGCATACTTTCGGGAGATGACTGTAAACATCTACCCTTTGTCAATTGATGTTTATAAACAATGTGTGAATCTTTCCAGTTTCATGTTGGCTTACCTTAAAGTCCGACAAGGATGCCATTAAATCATCCAGCTCCTTGGTGGCCTGCGATGTGTAGCCTTGATGCTGAGGCGCAGGCGCCGCTAGATTTGGTGTATACGAATCTTTTTTCTGCACGATCTGCTCCTCGATGGAACCAACTATACACAAAAGGTAACTAAAGTTAATAAATTGAATTTAGATTGAAGGCACTTTACACAGTACCTGGTCCATCGGGTCCCGAGAGTTTTTCGGTTTTCGTTTCGCGCACCGTGATAGTCACATGTCGTCCTGGCGTGGGAGATTTGTGTGCAGATCTTGAGGGAAAAAGGAAAGGCATGATATTAAATGCAATTAAGTAATAACAAAAGGAACACCTACCCATTGGGTACAGCATATATGTGCGCGTTGTCCAACTCATTAAGAAGGCTATCGACAGTGGGTCGCTCTTCCACCGAAGCGTAGCTGTTGAAAGTGTTGTATTTGGAGACGGGCGAGCTGTAGTTAGTAGGCACCTCTACTTCAGCTGAATTAAAAAGAGAGGGAGAGATTAGTATGCGTGTATTTAGTCTACTTAAGCCCCTACTCACCCTTACGCTCTCCGCCGCCATTATTGTAACGCGCATGCTGCAAGTCCTGCAGAAGCGAATCCAACTCGGACAAACCGGAGCTGTTCTGCGGCAAGCCCTGTCCATTATTGTAGCCTGAGCGTGGCAGCGAGCCGGTGCCTTGATGCGAATAACCATTGTTCTGGCTGGAGCCATTGAATTCGGCCGCTGCGGGCAAGCGCGTCTCCGAGCTGTAATGTTCCTGATACTGCATAAAAAAACAAAAAGATTATCAACTAAATTCAATGCTAAACTCTTGCCACTCACCACTTGCGGCTGTGCCTTGCCCCTCAGGCTGCCATAGCCAGGCGTGTTGTCAACAAATTGTTGTTGCTGCTGCTTGGGCTGGACAGTGCCATACTGCGGCTGCAGCTGTGGCTGTGGCTGTGGCGGCTGCCCCGGCACGCTGTTCTGCAAATCCGCAAGGAGTGCATCTGGAAAAACAACGAAACACGTTTAAGTATTACTGCAACATTTTTGTGATGCAGCCCATAGACACCCAGATTATCGTAGTCGCCGTAGTTAGCCATGGCCAGACAATGACAACCGCCTAACGTAACTCCTCTGACGCATCGCAAACTGATAGCTGCCGTCTCTAAATCAAATGTTTCACTTTGCCTTATTCATATATCTTGGCCAAAGCTACAGATAAGAAATCACCAGCGAGTATGTCAACACATATTTTTGCCTTTTGTGGGGCTTTATCAGCGGACTTAAGGAAAACTTCACGTTTTTGGGGCTTTTATTGTTTAACAAGGGTTTGTGTCCCAACTAAGCCTTGTGTGTAGAATATGGTTCAAAGCTTTTAACCTAACTATGTGGTTTACCTACTTCCCTCGATTGACTGTCGTGGGAGCATTTATGTAATGTAAAAATATTAAACAAAATAAATCCGTTCTGAAATTAGCTACACAAAACGTAAAAGGCGTATATGAAATTCGATGCTAAAAGACTTTTGCTTAAATGAATCGAGCCTCGAATCTAAATGCAAACAGCCCTCAAATATAACCCAAACCTCAAGGAATAATCATTTAATAATAACAAAATTTTCCTACATTTGTAAAGATAGTTTCTAGCAGCTAATGATTAACTTTGTATTTTATAATTAACTCATTAAACTTTTGATAATTTAGGTATGTAACTGCCGAGTTATGCTTAAACATAACAAGTTGTTTATAAGCATAAGTAGAGATAGCTATAATATACTCGTTCTGCGTATGAAATAGGAATATATATATATATTCTTAATTGTGTCTCTAGCTATTGCAGATATTCCGCGTTTGACGACAAGTATATGCCCTCCCTTTAAGCGCTCGAATATGCTTTCTTCTGTTTTAAGATACATTTTAATTTTCAATTTACAAACTAGCTGAATGTAGAAACAGGTGCTTTTGCTGAACCTCTGGGCAAGGATCGGTTCACGGAGACACAAAAACTAATTTGTTTCGTTGTGGCGAGACACCTTCAAGCAATAGGTATTTGTCGAGTCTATCAACTGACAATGATCATAGACATTATAAGTTATTGGATTTTTAAAATCAAGTCAAGGCCGTTGACCCCTATTTGCAATTGCATTCGAACTTGACCTTGGCATTAGAACTCTGCCGCCTAACAATCTGGCCGCAGCCCACATTCAAAGTCACGCACCTGGCAACATGGACTTACCCAAGCGTCTCTCGAACTCGCCCACTTTGAAGCAGTCGTTGAGGGGCGTGCTGTGGAACGACGATGATATCAGTTTCGAAGACATTACTTAGCCCAAAACGAAAAGATGGCCAAAATTGATGAAGAAGCTGAACGGGGCACAAACACGGTTCGGTTAGTTCCTTTAATAGAAATGTTTGCGTAACTTGGCTAAAAACTTAACAACAACAACAACTGAAGCAAATAGAGAAATTTAAACTAGCCGAGTTTGAGCAAAGCCAAAAGCTGCATGAAAACTCAATCGGAAAGCAAAGCCAAAGCCATCGACTCCCACACTGCGCCCATAATGGTCATAAGCAGTGTGTAGAGACGGCGGAGGGGGAGGGGGCGGACCGGTGAGGTGTGAGGGGGAACGGACAGACAGTAGACGAGGTCTACACACAATTTTTTTTTGTTTTTGATATGTTTCTCGTGGGACGAACTAGTCGAGCGAGCTAAAAATCACACCAGGGCACGAAATATCGCATATATGATGATTATATAAATATATAAATGAATTCGCGTGTGTGTGTGTGTGTGTGTGTGTGTGTGTGTGTGTGAGAGTGTGCCTCGTTGAAAATATATTTGATCAAATTAACGTTGTTTGCATTCTATTTGGCTATAATTTGGCTAAAAGCAACAAACAAACAGGCCAGAATGTGCTCCAGTTGCAGATGCTCGACGTTGAAATACCCTCTACCCAAATACGATATGCCATAAAAAAAGAATATTGCGACTGTACTTCTTCTTGTCCTAGATGCAAACTCTAAGAAATGCATTCATAAATTAAATTTGTATTTGTTGATCGATAAATTACAGTGCTTAAAGATGGCATAAATATGTATGTGTGTATATTCCAGAAACAAAGGGTATATTTCTTGCCTTGTGTTCCGAAGAAAATTTCTAGTTTTTTTAATGCTATTTATTGCTGTAGAGTATAGGGAAAGGGTATTGATCCTTTTTCTTCGAGAAATTTATATTCCCTGAGAACACATTATTGCAGATTTGCCCCACTGTACCCATATTTATAGGTTACACGGTGTACAATCAACAAAGGCAGGGCACAAAATATGGCAAATGACTTGGGTTGGGTTCGATGCAGGAACATCTCAGCTGTCTTAACTGTCACTCGTCCTCATTTGACCCACCCAGCCGAAGCGATAAAAGCGAATACAAGACTACAAGACTTAACACTGTCCAACACGAAACATGACAGCCAGCGATTAAGATATCAGACATCAAAATCTAACAAATCATCAGTTTGTTTCTTTTTTGGCGTCGTTTCTAGCGGGGTTCAAAAGTTAGTGCCACCTGCAATTGGGCCAAAGCCAACATAGAGAAGGGAAAGTGCTCAGATCGGATTGAGTGAAAATCTTGAGTTATGTAAAGCAAATAGTTGGGTGAAAAAGTGTGACGGCTTTTTTTTGGCAGCCGATTTATTGTGAATATTATAAAGACGATAAGGGGACAGGGCGTGTCCGGGGCAGAGAGGCTGATCTATATTTAAAAGAGTGTTTCGGTTTTTGGAAAATATCAGGCAAATGGCAAATCGTTTCGCAATTTGCTTAAAAATAATTCGAAAGGAACCGATCCAAAAAAAAAAAAATGGGGCTTCGAACATGTGGTTGTCTCTGAGGAGTGTCTGTCTGTATGTATGTTGATACTCTGTGCGCCCTGCCATATGGCTATTGGCTGTGTGTTGGTGTTGGGGAGAGTGTCTAAAAATAGAGCTGGCAGGGTTATCAGAGCGTCGCGCTTCAGTGGGTCAACGTCAAGACTGTGGGGCCAAGAGAATTATGATGGAAATGACTCGGAAAGTGACATGAATCTTTTTTTCGTTCGCCATGTTTTGACTGTAAATTATTGTTTTAAGTGTCGCAACGGTATTAAGTTCAATTTCAAAGATCATCCGCTTGATGATCTATAAAATGATATTTGCTCTTAAAAACGACAGATTAAAGAGATTAAATATTTGTGCATCTAATTTATAGCTAACAATGCATATAGAAACTTTTAAGTTGTCAATATATGAACATATATTCAGGATTAATTTATCATCTAAGAGAAAAGGAAACAAGTCCATTAGAAAACAAAGTTATCGCATTCGGAATCAATTTACGAGAATTGGGTTTTCTCAGTTAACTCAGAAACGCCAACTGCAATATTTAAGATCATTTAAAAGCCATTAAATGCCAACGACAAAAATGCAGCGAAGCTGACAATTTCAACTATTGGTTAACATTATCTTCAAATTGTTTCCATCAAAATGCAATTAAAATCAATTAAAAGCGCCCAATCAAAAAGAGAGAGAGAGGGGGAGGCAAAAAGAGTGAGAACATCAATTAAAAGAGCATTCGCAGCGAAGTTATACAGCTGCAGTTAATCAAAACGACAACAACGTTGGCTGCGCAGGCTAAGGACAAAGAGAGCGAGTTTCAATAAATTGACATAGTTGGGGGAGTATTGACAGCTGCAGTCGGCATCAAACACGAACGCCAGACAGCTGTTATAATGGCGACCGACGGCTTGCACATTGCACAAAACGGAGAGCGAGTGTGCAGATCAAGAGAGTTGGTGGCCGAGCGAGAGGGAGCGGGAGAGAGAGAGAGAGCAAAGTGCGCAGAGCAGGTCAAGCAGCACGCGCGTTTTGTTTGTGTTTCTTAAACTTTTTTTAACGTTATGCTCTTGACTGCGCTGCTTCAACTGCTTCTTCTTCTTCTTCTTATTTTTCATCGGACTCTGGCAATTGCTGTTGACATTGTTGTTACATATTTTTGCAGCTTGCGGCTGTCACTTTCGTTTTCATGTGAATCACGATTGTTGTTGTTAATTTTGTTTTGTTGTTATTGTTGTTGTTTCTTTGATCGAAATACGCAGCGTTTATTAAAATTCTATAGACACGCACACTGCGGCAAATAAGAACAAATAACAACAAAAAGCGAACTAAAACAGAAATACACAAGCAATCGATCGACGATTTTTGAACGCACACAGAGCGACGGTAACGGTAACGGCGGCAGCAGAGCACCAAAAATTATTTTTCGCTCGGCAAAATCTTAAAAGCAACTGAACAAGATGCCCGACGAAAACCGTTGCTGAAGCTGAGGCTGTGAGACGAACAGCAGCAGCGCACACTGGTACCAAATTGAAAATCTAGTTGTTCAAATATCAGCTGGTATTTGGTTGATTCAAACTTTGGCATGTAACATGGAGTATTTATTCATTTCGAAGAAAAGATTTTTTACATATTTATATCTTGAGATTTAAACGAAATTAAAAACGATTAGAATTTTCATTGTCGGTGAAAATATAAATCCATGCATATATACAGAAGAAGAAATTATAAGATTGTTTTGTAATTTACTCATAATGCTTTCCTGCTCACGTTATCAAAGTATTAATTTGTAATGTTAAATAACAAAGTTTTTCTGTATTCGTTTTTACGAAATTTCTGCATCATATTCTTCATATGGGTTCAGTGTGCAGCGCATAACTCACTCAAGAGAGGGTGGGAAAACCCGCTCAAACTCAATTGAGCATGTGTTTGTGTGTGTATTTTTTTTGTTGGTGTTATTTCTGTTGCTGTTGATTACAACACATATGCGCGCAGTTGTACAACAAAAGTGTTGAGTAAACGTTGCCATTTGTTGCCTGCCGCAGGCTGCGTTGTGGGCGTTTGTCGCAGAGGCGCCACCTGCCGACCAGAATTAGCAAACAAAATCTTGCGCACTTTCAGTGTTTGGATGAATCACTTGACTTTGACCAAAACTAAAATTAGTATGCAGCAACAAAAACAAAAACGAAAACAAAAACAAAAACAGACAACGACGAATGACAACAAATTAAAATGGTTGTTGTTGATTATTTCGTATTAATTTGACAGCGAGCGTTGTTGTTGTTTTGTCTCTCTATAAATTGACGATGAGATCTACAATTGATTGTCCAGATTTCAGTTCAGATAGGTTAACAAGTAAAAACTTTAATTGCCCCAAACTGAAGTACTTAAATGGAACTTTTCGAACTGGTTCCGAAACTCTTCGACAAGTTTTTAAAGAGCCGTTTCTCAAAGCCAACTTCCGGTCTGACAAGAGAGCTCTGAATTTGAATGTTGCATCAACATCTGGCAGGCTTGATTTGACTTTGCTTTATCAAGGCTTGTTGGCTTAACATTGAATCAGCTACCTAAGCCATTACACAACACTAATGCAGGTACGCACACACACACACACACACTCACATGCATTGTGAGAGCGCGAATTTAGAACAGCAGCAGAAACTATGTATGTGACGCCCACATTGAATGACGCCGAATGAATGGAATGATCTAATGAATGAACCGCGTCGTCGTGAGGGTCATTGTAGTAAAGCCCCCGCGCTCCGCCAGATTTACAGAGTTTTTGAGCAGCTTACCGATTTTCATGTTTTTTCTATTATTGCACTTGTTAGCGAGGCGAACGATGAAATCCGCGCGGCGTCTAATTGCAAACTGAATTCAAAATATTCAAATCAATGTCTGACACGTTGAGACTTCACTTTTGATGCAATCTCCGGACAATGTTTACTTGTTTTGTGCTCAGTGCTTTAATGGGCAGGTAACGACCAGCAGATACCCCGTAAACTATTTTTTGCAAAATAAATTATATAATATATATTTGCATATTAGAGTTTCGGATAGCGCACTGTTAAATGCATTTGCATGCTATGCTGATACCCTTTTTTTTCTTTGAGTGCTTACAGGGTAGAAGCTGCATATCATTAAGACTTGCGTTCTTTGTGTGTGTTACGTCACAGGGTGTTTTTTTTTCGTGCTTCAATTGTTTACGCTGTGATTGCAAAGAGTTTTGTGCAAGAAGAACTAAATTTTGTAAGATTTGTTTAAAATTGTGCAAGGTAATTTTTTTTTTTTTACCAATTATGACAACATTGTAACGGTAAAAAGGATATTAAAGTTTACTCATGGAGAATATATATTCTTATTCAGCATTAAGTCGATATATAGCCAGGTCTGTCTACCCGTCTGTCTGTCTGTCTGTCTTAATCCAACTTCTCATTTATAATCTTCAGTCAATCTCACTCAATAAGGCACATATAAATGAAATCTTATCAAAATCGGACCTCTATATCATATCAGATGTCATAGAATTGTATGGCAAAATTTTATGTTTTTAAAGATTTTTTCAGATAACTGCAAACAGTGGGCCACAGTTTAATTTTCGGCTTCCCAAATATATAATTTTTAAATTTATCAAACATAATTTTTTTTTTTTATTTTGTAAAATTGTAACTAAAATTGTCAAAAACATATTTCTCTTAACTTTTAGGCACAAAAAATTTTGATTTTTGTTTTGGCCAAAGCCCAAAAGTATGCAACGTTATGCAAACGATTTGCGAGTTCTCAAAACAAGACATAGATGGCGCTTAGGACTTCGAAAATAACTTGCATTAATTGATGTCTTATGCTTATATCTGCTCGCAAAATTAAAGCAGAGTATATTGATTTTGAGCAATGTCTAGTCCGTCTTGAAAACTGAAACCCTCTCTCCTATTGCCAAAGTTAGCGTTTTAAGATCTGTGCTTTGGGCTACAGCAAACAAATAGCCACGACTTCAAGCTGTCGCTGGACTTTGGATAGAGTATTATGCAGTCAGTTGCACCCGACTGCAATGTGTCAACTTGTTTCCGTCTTGTCCAGTGTTATCATAGCTATATTTAGGAATAATCATAAGTGTGGGATGCCCCGAAAATTGCAAAACTTATCGATCGAGTATGCTCGTTGATAGCTGCCGGCGGATACAGTGAACACTCGCTAACGAGAACGCGTTGCTCAAACAGAAGCTAATTTGCAGGCTAATTTCATTAAGCTCTAAAAGACCTTTTTTTCGATACAGCAATTGATTATAGCGTAAATATGTTTATATTAAACTTTGTGAAAATTTGTTATTTCTCAAGGTTCTTATTTGCGAGCGACTACTGTATTTGACTGAATAAGCTGCCTTGACTTTTTTATTATCAATAATACTATCATATTTGTGCGCTTATCAAGCAAAGCGAATGTAGAGACAGTCACAAATTGGCGTTCGACATGAAAATAAGTCTCGGATACTTGTACCTGCTGTTATTGTGGGCTTTCGGCAGCGCAGCTACGCCCATTGGCACAGGTAGCCAGGCAGGTAGGTGTCCAGCTAATACCTACGTACTAACAGCAGACAAATTATTTCAGCAGTGCTCGAGAATCGCACTTCGGCGAACTTCACTGCAATCGGCGACAAGTTGTACTACATTGAGGAAACGTTACGGGTCAATTGGTTCCGGGCGAGCAACATTTGCCGCCAGCTTGGCGGTTTTCTGGTGAACCTGGCGAGCAAGGAGGAGCTGCAGGCGCTTAGCCGACAACTGCATCCGGCGCGGAGCTACTGGCTGTCGCTTTATGACCTGGCCGAACCGGGCGTATACGCATCACAGGCCAACGGCAGGGATGCCCAGTTCTTGAGCTGGTCCGCCGGCCAGCCGGACAACATCGGAGGCGTGGAGCACTGCATCGAGCTCTGGCTGTCGGGCAGCACATTTCAAATGAACGATGCCCAATGCGAGATGCCCTTTCATTTTGTATGTGAGTCGGATTAGTTTGGCCTGCTGGGAATACTTACAGCCCGGCTGGATGCCCTTGCTGCGCACCGTGCGATAGGGTTGTCGCGCTCCGGGATCGATTTTTCCGTACATTGTTCTATCCATGTTTGTGCAAAACTTTTGATATTTAGCTGCATTAAAAAGTCAATCAAAAATCGTATGGCAATAGATCCGCAAATGCAGCCCAGACCCAGAGTTTCGACTCCGTACGCTGCATTTGGCTGATTTATTTAAAAGCTTTGTGGCGAGCGTGTTTTTTTTTTCTTTTCCCCCAGACGACTTTTCCATTTTCTTAACAGTATTATTTATAAGCGCATTTTTATTTTTGGCCGTCGACGGATTTGTCGCTTTGTTTGTGTTGAGTTCTCGCCTGTCATTCGGTATCCGTTTGTCTGTCATACTTTTGTCCCAGAGACCAACCCCCCCCCCCCCCCCCCCCCCCCCCGCCTCCATCCCTTCACTCATCCCTCCCTACCATCGACATCGACTTAATGATACAAATTTGTGACTGTTTCTCAGTAGAACATTGCCCAGATGATAATTAAGCAAAAGCAAATTATTAAACATTCATATTTGCCTTTAATATTTATTCATAAGTCGAATCGAACACAATCTAAAAGTCTATAATATATACAATTTATAGAGTCGAAAGTGGATTTTAGGGCAGAGTAGAAGGGATTAACGCTCAGACTTCTTCAATGAACAATGTCTCATTAATAATCCTTAATGAATGATGTCTAATGTATAACAATGAATTAGGTTTGAGTTAATTCTATTAGAGCAAGTCCTCGGGTTACAATTTCTTTGCGAACTTAGGCTGAATAACGATTGTTAATATAATATATACAATTTATAGAGTCGAAAGTTGATTTTAGGGCCAAGTAGAAATGGATTAACGCACAAACTTCTTTAATGAACAATGTCTCATTAATAATATTTAATGAATGATGTCTAATGTATAATAATGTATACTGTTTTTTAATATACAATTTATTGAGTCGAAAGTTGATTTTAGGGCCAAGTAGAAATGTATTAACACACAGACTTCCTCACTGAATAATGTCTCATTAATAATATTTAATGAATGATGTCTAATGTATAACAATGAATAATGTTTTTTAATATACAATTTATAGAGTCGAAAGTGGATTTTAGGGCCAAGGTAGAAATGGATTAACACACAGACTTCTTTAATGAACAATGTCTCATTAATAATATTTAATGAATGATGTCTAATGTATAATAATGTATACTGTTTTTTAATATACAATTTATTGAGTCGAAAGTTGATTTTAGGGCCAAGGTAGAAATGGGTTAACGCACAGACTTCCTCAATGAACAATGTCTCATTAATAATCCTTAATGAATGATGTCTAATGTATAACAATGAATAAGGTTTGAGTTAATTCTATTAGAGCAAGTCCTCGGATTACAATTTCTTTGCGAACTTAGGCTGAATAATGATTGTTAATATAATATTATATAATAATTTATAGAGTCGAAAGTGGATTTTAGGTTCAAGTAGAAATGGATTAACGCACAAACTTCCTCACTGAATAATGTCTCATTAATAATCTTTAATGAATGATGTCTAATGTATAACAATGAATAATGTTTTTTAATATACAATTTATTGAGTCGAAAGTTGATTTTAGGGCCAAGTAGAAATATATTAACACAGACTTCTTTAATGAACAATGTCTCCTTAATAATCTTTAATGAATGATGTCTAATGTATAACAATGAATAAGGTTTGAGTTAATTCTATTAGAGCATAAATATGAATGCTAACAAAATGCTAGACTTAAAGTCGAGCGCCTAGATTGAGTGTGTGGGATTCCCGAGAATGCAATCATAGCTGATATATGAGACTCGGACAATTTATGTTCACCCACGGACATTAGAGATGTTGGGACATTGGGATCATGGTGATCCGAGTGCCAGATTTATGAACCATAAAGATACCAAATGAAAATGCCGAGCTAACATGTGTCTAAACAAATAACGACACATTGGAAAAGGTAACAAATAATAAACATAAATTAGAGATCTAAAAAAAAGGCCGAACGCAGCAGCAGGTTTATAGCCAGTTGTTGTTGTTGTTGTTGTTGGAATGGATGCTAGCGGGGAATCAAGGTTGCCAAATTACGTCAACACCATGATCGAGAGCTAAAAATACAAAGTTCTCGCAAATCAAAGGCGACGTTTTTGCCCCGGCGAAAATAAAATTAACTAACTAAAGCAAAAAAAAAAAACGTTTGTTGAAGAAAATCGAAAAACATTTCCGCAGTGCACTGCCAAAAAGGTAGCCGAGCATCTGCCCTCGGCTCCCGGGAAGCCTTTTCCAGATCTCGCAGGGCAGGTCGCGATGACGTCGTTCAGCCACAAGAGAAACAACAAAAACAGTTCTAAATTTAAAAGTCAAAGGCGCGATATATTTGCCTAAACTTCGAGAGGTTTCTTAGCTGTGTCTCGCATTTTGTAACGCATCTCCGAATCCATGGAGTATATATATTATTGAACAGTCTCTCGATATGGTCCATCCATCTGCCTAGTCTAGTCTCTCAGAGTAGCAGACGGACAGATCAGAGCGCTATATCATTTAGCTATATATATATATATAACTTGAGCTATTTCATGAAGAGTCTTAGCTAAGCTCTTCAAATTCTACTAATATCGGAACACTATATAGTTCCAATAGAAATGATAAGTCGATGGGTAAACAATTTTCCAAATTCTTAACTAAGCCTGGATCCTATGCTTGAGCTAGGACTTCTATATACATATAGCTATATGGATATAAAGAAATGAAAACCTTTGCTAAGCTCTTCAAATCCTATTAATATCGTAGCACTATGTATAGTGCCTATAGTTCCTAAAGAAATAATGAGTCGATGGGCAAAAACTTTTCTTCGTCAACCTCTAAACTAATCCCGGCAATTATGAGCTAGGATCAGGGACTACTATATACTATATAGGAACAATCCTTTGCTAAGCTCTTCAAATCCTATTAATGTCGGACGACTATATCATATAGTGCCCATAGATATGAAGAGTCGATGGGTAAACAATTATCTTCTTCAACTTCTTAACTAATCCCGGCAATTATGAGCTAGGATCAGGAACAACTATATGGAAACAAACGTTGTAAAGTTTCCGCATCGGATCCCTTCTAACGCATGCAAGGGTATTAACTCTTCGGCTTGCCGTACTTTTATTTTCTTTGCTTTTTCGACGCAGGAAATTCCAAGCAGGCTGGCGGCCAGTGCTCGATGGACTTGGTCTCTTGTTGACCGACGCCTCGGCCGAACGCAAGATCTCTCTATAAATATTTGAATATTTTATTGGTAAGTACATAAAAGTTTGTTTGTAAAGGCGTCTGTCTGGCTGACCTTGCCGCAGGCGGCAAAGGTGAAAACGCAGAGGAAAATTAACATTCACGTGGGTGATCTTTTCCGGGCCTTTCTACGGCCCCGTAAATACATTCATTTTAATTGCGAATAACCTAGACATGAAGGAACTGGTCCCAAAAAGCTTAACAGGACATTACTATGATTCGAATATTTATTTACAGTAGAAGAATTTCTGAATATTTCGAAATAAACTAGACTTCAAGACTGGAAATCCATTCTTTCGTCATCTCTTGCACATTTATTAAGCTCATATAAATAAGTATTACCCATTCATGTTTTTTGGCTCACTTTGAGTATCTATGACTCGAACATCCCTAGCATGAAGTCGGCAAAGATAAAGTCTGAGTCTGAGCGAGCGACAGAGAGCTGGAAGCTTCTCCCTTCGTTGGGCCCAAAAACTACGCAAACTAATTGAAATTTGATGAGTCGGCACTTGGAGATATGAATCTATTCGCTGATTGGGAACGAGTACTTGCTCTACTCGAACTACGCTAACAAATTGAACGATGAACTCATTGCAACACGAACGGCGGGTGCGGAGCAGGGGGAGGGGGAAAAGGGGGGGGGGGGGGGGGGGGAGGTGCTAACTTCTCTTCTGTTTCGTTCAGTATTTGAGCAAACATTTGAACTGCGAATTTGGAGTGAAAACCCGTTTGTTGCCCCCTTAAAGCGTGTGCGTGTGGGCGCAGCCCTCGATCCGAGGTGGGCGGGGCCCTTAAGGGGCTTGCATCGAGAGAAACTAAACGAATGTTTGACTAATTGAAATTCGTTTGGCGGCTAATCGAGAGCAATTCTCATAAGTGCACTTCGTGGATGCAATGCTGGATGAGCCGCAATTTCAATAAACATTTCAATTCATCAATGTAACAATATATTGAAGCACTTTCGTAATGCGAGACGCGTTGTTTACGTTATATTTCAAGTGGTTGAAAATGTCGTATATTCAATTATTATTGTTGTTATTTTGTATACCCTTGCATAGAATATTACAGACATCTCCGACCCTAGTCAAGATACATACATGCATACATATATCTATTCTTGAGCAATATCTATCAATGATCTATCTTTTAGTATGTACATTTATGCGTATAACAGTATTATATAACTGTAGTGGCAGCCATAATTCCAAAATGGCGCTTTCGTGTTTACATTCGGCAAGGGTATTCAATCTATCAATGATCTATCTTTTAGTATGTACATTTATGCGTATAACAGTATTATATAACAGTATTATATAACTGTAGTGGCAGCCATAATTCCAAAATGGCGCTTTCGTGTTTACATTCGGCAAGGGTATTCAATCTATCAATGATCTATCTTTTAGTATGTACATTTATGCGTATAACAGTATTATATAACAGTATTATATAACTGTATTATATAACTGTAGTGGCAGCCATAATTCCAAAATGGCGCTTTCGTGTTAGCATTCGGCAAGGGTATTCAATCTTCGGCATTCCGAACATGTTTCTGGTTCTCTTTTCACTTTTCAGCCAGAAGCCCGATCAAACCGAATTTCCCTCTTCAACGCCCACGAGTTAGTCTCAATTATGAATACTGCGTATAATCCGCTTGTCGGGGACGTCTGAAATTAATGGCGTTACC